GAGTTATCCATTCTAAGGTTAAGGGAGTAGATATTGCTTTAGATGAAGAAATCTGGACAAATATCGTTGGATTTACAATAGGTGGAGAAAATGTCACTGGGGTTTTTGAAAACTTTAACAAATTAGCTATCTTTAGATTTTGTCTTAAGAATTCCAATACTGTTAGGGATTACTCAATTTTTAAAACTGGTGGTATGAAGAAAGATGAACGAATGTTAGATTTTGTAATCACCTGGATTCTTGTAGCTAGGGGGAGCAATCATGCTTAGCTAACCTCTGAGGACATGTACATAATACATCCTCTCAAGTCTAGACTGCAAGTTGACTGGCCTACTGTTGTCAGTGTGTTAAGTGGTAAAAATTTGATATATTTATACTTTGAATTGTTATGAAATCACTTAACTTATGTTAATTCTAATCTATTTTTCGCCCAATTTAGGATGAATTCGAGAATACCTTGATACAAGAGCAAAGATCATAATTGTGAAGTAATTGAAGAAAAATTGAAATAAAGAAGAACGCTTAAGCAAATGAATGATGCGAGGTCCGACCCAAATTCTCTTATAAAAAGATAAGATTTATTTTGAGAAAGCAAGCGGTTTTAGGGGAGAAAAGGTGCGACTACTGCTAGGGTTTCATCTAATCTTCATCAATTCTTCACTTCTTCCTCATTTGGAGCATTGTAATGGCCAACATGAGTGACTAACTTCATTCTCTTGGGATTGAGTGCACTTCCTTTGAACTCTTTTATATCATGGTGATATTTTGATATATTAATATATGTTTTGATGTTGTTATTCTTATCCATTGTGCTTTGGAATGATTTATTCTTGATGTTTGGGGTATGATTGGAAAATATATCTTGAACCCTAGATCAGGGTAAGAATATTTGTTACATTAATTGCCAGGAGTGGAATGAATGTATCAATTGCTTAACACCATAAACCTAATGCTGGAAAATCTCTTAATTGTGTGAGGAATCAACATTTATTAGGTTTTCTTATGAATTTCATGTGTGAGGAATCAACATGGATGATTTGAGTAGGTGTTATCAACATTGTTAGGTTAATTAACGTTCTTAATTGGCATAGTCATTACAAAAGAGGGATAAGAAAGGAAGTCAATCCTAAGTGCCTTTAATTGATATTTTCTCAACAATTTACAGTTCTTTGTCATTTAATTTCAATTCAACTCTTATTGTAAAACCCAATCTATTTTAATCCACTTAGTAAGCATAATTGGAAATTTTCATTGAAATCGTTCCTCGTAGGATCAACTTTTATTTAATCGAAATATTATACTGCGATTGATAATTTTGGTACGCTTGCCAATAATTCAACACAGTGATAATATGAGAAAATCTTATAGGCTTCCTCTCTATCCATTACCATATTCTGTGTTTTTGTCCAAGGTATTTGAATATGTAGGGGTTAATATTGATGGTGAATCCTTCAAAACCATGAGCCATGCCAATGCAATTGGAAAATCTGCTTTTCATCATATGGGATTGGTAAAAAGGGATAATGGATGGTTCTTCAAGGATGAAGATGAATTTGTTGATGAAGGAGTAGAGTCAATTAATGTTGATATCCCTGATTCTTCTGGTAGGAGAAATTTTTCTGCATTTGAGCAAAGCATGCTAGAAAAACTTGATAGTATTCATCTATGGCAACAAGATAAGCATCATTATTATTGTTCCAGATTTGATGCACTAGATGATCAAGTCTCTTCAATCATAAGCATGCTACAACCAGAACATGATGATACTGACGTGGAAGATAATGGAGATGACAGTGATGACACTGTCCAAATATCATCCAACGATGATGATTGATTAACTTTTTCTCTTCTTCATGTTTTGTTTGGACAAATTTTATGTTGTATTGTAATAATTGTCATTTACTTTAACTGGTCTGTAACCAAATACTGATTATGAATCTCTTGTATGATATTATGCATATTAATCTTTCAAACTGCATGATTAACCTTTTTTTATTAACTCTAATGGGGAGAATGACAACACTCGAAATACAAGGGAAAAGATTTAGAAGAGAAAGAGTTTACTATTGAGGGGGGAGAAAATAAAGAGTCTACTAAATTTACATAAAGATTGTTGATACTGTTGAATGTTACTACTAAAGAACTTTCAATATTTTTACTTTTATCTTTGGTGGTTAGCCATCATAAAAAAAGGGGGAGATTGTTGATGAAAAGGGAAGATAAACTAGGAAATCTCTTTTTGATGATGTCAAGGTAGTTAGGATAGTTAGTTTGTATAAAGCAAAACAAACCAAACTTTGAATAATTAAATATGTTAAAACAATGCGCTAATAATCGATTAGATAAAGGGGGAGATTGTTGATGAAGAGGGAAGATAAACTAGGAAATCTTTTTTTGATGATGTCAAGGTAGTTAGGATAGTTAGTTTGTATAAAGTCAAACAAACCAAACTTTGAATAATTAAATATGTTAAAACAATGCGCTAATAATCGATTAGATAAAGGGATAATCGATTATATGACTTAAAAATAAATTTTTATAAAATGCGCTAATAATCGATTATGTGATTACCTAATCGATTATTTGCCAAAGATTTTATTTTAAAATAATACACTACTAATTGATTAAACAAAGATTATTCGATTATATGATTTAAATTCAGTTTTCATACGACAACGATTATATGGTTGTTAAATCGACTCACAATTATATATAATATTTTGTTTAGATTAAGATGAATTTAATAAATTGTTAAATTTAAATATTAAAAATTATAAATTATAAATAGGCACAAAATTAAAGAAAAAAACGAGATGTGACCTCTTTCATTTATTAAAAGACATCTATTTATTTTAAAAATAAAATTTTCGAATAATTTTTTAGATTATTATTTTATACTTCTAAATTAAAAAAAAAAGTTGAATGATAAAAAAAATATCTCTAATTTGAACCATATAACCAATTTTTAAAAATTACAATGAACTATTCATTCACACCCAAATAAATAAAAATTGATTTAACGAAGAATTTGTTGTTGCAGGTAGCATCAATTGTCCTGTGACGAAGGTCAGGTGGGCTGAAGTCACAATTGAATTATGGCGCTTGGTCCGTTAAAGTAAAAAGAGTTGTGCTCGACTAATGACTATAACTTTTGGCCTAGTGGTAAGCATTTGATCTTAACAATTTGTATCAGGGTCAAGGTCATGAGTTCGATTCCTAGTGGGCAATTGTTGCGGGTTGCACAATTGTCCCGTGGCGGAGGTCGGGTGGGCCGAGTCACAATTGAATTGTGTGGCGCTTGGGTTCTTAAGCTAAAAACTATAGCTTTTGGCCTAGTGGTAAGCGCTCGATCCTAACAAAATTGAAAACCAATTGACTCCGAAATTTTTTAACTATATTTTTAAATTTATTTAATTGAAAGAAAGTGTTTTTATTATAAATGAATTGGCAAATTATCTTACTAAAAATAGTTATCAACATGTAAAATAAATAAGTGCTTGATACATGTAACCTAAATAAGTTTTGTAAACTATATACTTTTAACTAATTATATGTTCTGTTAACAAAGTTTTAGACGTTATTATATTATCATCAATCAATCAAACACAATATATACTATATTTGTGGTGTTACACAATTTACAATTATTTTATGTAAAATAATTAAATTTTACGTGGAATGATTTTTTTAGTTTAAATTAAATTATTTTTACAAATAGCATTTACTTTTATAAAATTCATAAAAAAAATTATAACTAGTTTAAATTTGATAGTTAAAATGTTTTACATGAATAATCCATGCAAATATTAATGGATATCTTAAAAATACTTTTGAAATTAGAAGTTTTTATTTTTTATTTTTTTCCACTGCTAGGAACAAATAATAATTTGCCTTTTGTCTCAAAAGCTATAATTTTCAAACTGATTTTTAACCTCCAACAAATATTCTATTAAAACTATTTTCAATATAATAATTAAACAACAATCTTAAACTTATGATCTTCAGAAATTACGTACACTTCAACCAGTTATGTTCTCTCAAAACCTATTTTGTTTTCTATTCATAAAATTCCAGTCCAAGGTATTATTTTTAAAATTTATCTTTTGGTTAAAAAGTAGAACTGTTAATTATTTTTTCACTCTGCAATGTGGAAAAGACTTTTCCAAATTTTTCGCAAAAGTTATAATTTCTGTTTGTTTTTAACCTGAGACAATAATGTCATAAATCTATTATCAATATTTTGATTAAACAGCTTTTTTTTTAAGACTTACAATATTCAGAAATTAGATTAACTAAACCATGTTTTTTTCATACTACAATTTCGAAGGGCAGATAAACTATGTTGTTAGGAACCAATTGATGTTTTTACCCTTCTTAAGATTTTTAAGGAACATTTTTTACAGCATTTATTTATATTTGAATTCTTAATATTTTAAATTTAAATTAATAAATTTTGATTTTAGTTACTATTCCAACACTTTTTAGTTATACTATTATATTATATAATATTCATTAACTATTTAACGAAAAGTTAAATAATAATCTAAACTACATTTGTAGATGTCTATGATATAATGTTAATATATGATTTTTTTTTAATTCAAAAGAAATATTATTTATTTATTTTGAAATGAAAGAAATAGGTTTTTGTTTTTAAATATAAAAAAACTACAATCAATTCATTTACTTTAAAGATAAAAAATAACAATTTTAAATTTTAAAGAAATAAAAAACAAAAAAAATGTTAATTCATAAACTAAAATCATATTTAAAGCATATTTGTATTATCAAATTGACTCTGTTCGGTTCGGCGGCACCCTACACTGTGTCGTAGTGTTGCAGTGACCTCTTCTCTTCCGCGTAGAATTTCTGTGCAGGTAACCTATATACTCTAATACCCTTTTCTATTTCTGAATTTTGTAGTGTAAATTTATTATCTTTTGTTGATATAGTGTTGGCGAGTGAGGTTGAGGTTGAAGAGATTGAACTATATTCTGTACATGAAGCTTGATGGTTAGTCATATATTAGAATCAAAAGTGTTGGTTTAGTTCTATGTGGCTCATTCACCTATCATACAATACAAGTTTATTACTTGAGTTGTAGCTTGTTGGGTCATTCACGTGTTTTATGTTGCTTGCATGATCAAAGGGGTATTCTGCAGCTTAGTACGACAGAGTACTTACTAATAATTGCTTTATTTACATTTGGAACTGAAACCTTTCACTGCCAGGATTCTCATCAGAAACTTTGATATTTCAGTGTTTATTGTTAGTTATCATTGTTACAATTTGTTCTCATATGCATCAGGGTTTCTTTCGTTTGTTTTCTTAATTAGATATCTAATGCTGCAGATACTAAGCTGGTTATTTGGGTCAAAGTTTGATTTCTGGCATCTCTATCATGGCAACTAGTAAGTGCTGCTACATTTACATTTTCCCTTTTGTTTAGTCTGCATTTTATAAGGAATCTGGTATGTGATCTTTTGTGGAAAACATTATTTTCTCCTTTAAATAATATACTCCATTATGACGTGCTTCCTGCAGGACTTCAGTTTGAGAATAATTGTGAAGTTGGAGTCTTCTCAAAACTTACCAATGCCTATTGTTTGGTTGCTATTGGAGGTTCCGAAAACTTCTACAGGTTATCACTCTTTCTGTACTAGTGAAAATACGGCTCCTAGTAGATATAAATTCTTTGCGCTTGGTTTCAATTGGATGAAAATTGCCAAAAACATATCTTCATATGAATAAACTAGTGTGTTATTTTATACAGTGCATTTGAGAGTGAGTTAGCAGATGTTATCCCTGTGGTCAAGACCTCCATTGGTGGCACCCGTATTGTTGGTCGGCTTTGCGTTGGTATAGTTTTTTTTTTCCTTAGTTTCTTAATTCTTAAATGATTATCACTCTTTGCCTTGGTTTACAAACCAGTTTAGGTTAACTTCTCAATAAAACACTTGTACGAAAAGAAAAAGAGGTAAAATGAATCAAACTTCGCCCGTAATAATATGTGCCCTTCAGCTTTGTGTGAAGTTAGATGAGAGAGCTTCTAAATATGTTGAGGTCGATAAATTGTTTTTGACTTCATGAAAAAAAATAAATTGATTCATTTAATTCGTATTTTCTTCTACTATAAGTATTTCTTGAGAAGTTGTTTCTCTGTAATTGATTTTTAGTGATGGCTCTGCACTCTCTCATTCTCTATTACATTTAGATCTATTACCTAATTAGCTTACCTTCTTATTGGTTTCCAGGAAACAAGAATGGCCTTCTCTTGCCTCATACCACAACAGACCAAGGTGATTCCTATGATTCTGCTACTTGTTTTTATTCATAGTAGTAGTACTGTAGTATTGTCTGAAACATATTATTATTGGTCACCAAATACTCCAAGCTGTCTTTTCAATTGCATTGTCAAACTAATCTAACCTCAAATTTCTGGTATTGCAAAAGTTTAAACATTTGTGTACAAGATGTATATTCCTTTTTAGTTGAAGAAGGAAAAGGCCTTCTAGTACAAGGTTCTGTTTGTGAATGATTAAAAGTTCATCTACGGTCTACCATACTAAGTTCCTGCATGTTTTGTAATGGGAACAATAGTGCTCAAAAGTTGATGCTGTAGTCTTTGATTTGGTATGTCATGGCCTCACTGATGCTTGGTTTTTAAAGTTCATTTTATAAAATGATCAAAATTTTAACTTTTTGTAGAAGAATTTTTGGTAGCAATATACTTTAAAGTGCTACACATTTCATCCTATTTCTCCTTTGCCTCCTCCACTACAGTATGAAAACAAATTGAGTGGTGGAGAATTAGAAGGTATTCATTCATGATTCAGGCAATTCTTAGAATGGTTCTCATAATTGGAATAATGATGTTCAGTGCTGCTAGCACTGACGATCATGTAAATTTGCTTGTATGACGATAACCATTTCTCTGGCTTCAGCATAACAATACTAGCTTAGTCACCAAATTCGAACAGGGTACCTTACTTTGATTCTGAGAGCTTTTGTTTGACTGCCTGCAAGCATTTGGGGATTGGTATCTTTTTGGACACCCTAGGTTCATCCCTCCCAACTTATTTTTTTCATTCTTTTGCTCGGGTTTAATCAGTTTATGTGTATTTTAGTACAAAAAATGATCTTTATGGCGTAGACTGTCTTGGATTACTAATCTGTATTATTTTCCTCCTTTATGGGATATCCATTGTTTCATCTTTGTTCGAGACATAGAACTCAGCACTAATTGTGATATTGTACTGACTTGTGGACTTATGTTACTTGATCTTTTTACTGTCGCTATTGCTGAAGAGCTTCAACATTTGAGAAACAGTCTACCTGATCAAGTTGTTGTTCAGCGTATAGAAGAAAGATTATCCGCACTGGGAAATTGTATAGCATGTAATGACCATGTGGCCCTCACCCATACTGATCTTGACAAGGTATTGTCTAATTATAGATTCTAGGCTTTTCTTTCATATGCTGAATTTCTACACTAATTTGATTTGGAGACACCCATATTTGCGTGTTAAACATGGGTGCTGGGTAAAGACATGACCAACCTACTCGTCATTCTGAATTGATCATTTAAATTTTTGAATTTGACTTTCTGTTAAATAACAAAGTGTATAACAAGAGAAAGTGTCAAATTTCATCTTAAAAATCAGTTAGTATCAAACAAAATTATCCAATAGATATATAAATCGTAGTTAAGAAGTAAGTAGGTGATGTGACTTCGCAACACCCCTGCATATATGTCTGTTAGAATAGGTGAATCTAATAGGCAATTTACCAGGACGAATGTCAGATTTTATGTCATAATCAATTGAAATTAAGTGAAGTTACTCAAAAGATATATTAGCCAACAGTAAGGATTAATGCACCCTTGAGAAATTAAAGTATCATGTAAACTTAAGCCAGTTTAAATCAATTCTGCGTGCCCCCTTGCATAAATCATAATTTTTTAGGTTATGACCACAACTCATGAAAACTGTAAATACTTTTTAAAAAGCATAGAAAATTTTCATTGAAAAGTTTGCTGTCATGTGGTAAGACTAGGTAATTTGACCGCTCTAATCATCCATATGATCTGGAATGTCATTTTTATATGAACGAGGATTTAAGTTCAGGGATGGGTATTCGATATATAATTCTAGTACTTTTAGCCTTTGTCAGAACTTGAAGATAATGTAGGCTAACTAATTCTTTTGACTTAAATTATAATGAAAGGTGACCTTTTTTGTAAATGCCCTTATTATTGTCCTGCTCTATTATTATTCACTGTGAAATTTATGTTCAGGAAACTGAGGAGATGATTGCTGATGTTCTTGGAGTAGAAGTTTTCAGGCAAACTATTGCTGGTAATATTCTTGTTGGCAGTTTCTGTGCATTCTCCAACAGGGGCGGTTTGGTAAGTATAAGGCATGTCCTCTTGAATATCCGGGTTTAAAAACATTTGTACTATATTGTGACCATACACTTTCTGCAGGTCCACCCTCATACTTCCATCGAAGACTTGGATGAACTTTCTACTCTTCTTCAGGTTCCTTTGGTTGCTGGGACTGTCAATCGTGGTAGTGAAGTTATAGCTGCCGGCATGACAGTAAATGATTGGACAGCATTTTGTGGTTCAGACACCACAGCAACAGAGCTTTCTGTGATCGAGAGTGTTTTCAAGCTGAGAGAAGCCCAACCCAGTGCCATTGTCGATGAGATGAGGAAATCACTCGTGGATACTTACGTCTAAATTTGCACTCGTTCATACCTGTATCAACATCTTTCAGTTTTGTCCCAGTTTTTCCCGGCAAACAGTTCGATTTCTAAAATATTATCATATTTCAATCAAGAATCATGGTCCCTAAATTGTATGTTTCTTTCCTTTATTTCAATTTTGGGGTTCTCGTCCATAAATCAAAGGAATGTACGGGTGCATCTACGTTACATGGAATCCTTGGTTTCGTAAATAATTTATATTCAGTAAAGGCTCGATTTAATAGGATGTAATCATCTCTATAATCTATAAATCTTAATAAAGAGGATATCATGACAATTTTAGATATTTTTCCTCTTAATTAATTTCTTTTTGACCTAATTTTTCTTAACTATATAACTTTCATTAACTATGAAGATATCCTTTAACTGTGTACATGGTGCTCTCTGTATTTTAATTTTTTTAGTAGTTAATATAAAAGGTATGTTTTGACCTCTAAATATTTTTATTTTTATATAGTATTAGTGTCAGCTTGGGAATGATTTTTTTTTTAGAAAATAAACACTTTTTAAAAATTCTCTGATTTTTTTTATAAAAAATTATTCACTTGATGTCTCTTTTAAGTTTTCGTCTATACCAAAAAATAGCAAGCTTTATTCCTTGTATAATTTTTCGTAGTGATTTATCACTGATAAATTAGGTTTCATACCAGCCAGTAATTTTTTATGGTGTTAATAATGACAAATATCAACATTTAATTTATTTTTATTCTTGTATAAATGCTAAAACTTACATTTTCTTCATCTAGGGCCTAAAATTTAAAATAGCAACAATTACAAAAAAATAAAATTACACTAAACTTAATTAATCATTCACCTAGTCTTTTCGAAAAGTCGTCAACTTATTTATATAAGGAACGTTTACGTAATTCAAGTAATTAAAATATTTGCAAGAATTAAAATATATCAAATTCTTTTTTAAAAAAATAATTAAAAAAATAATATTCTAACTTTTATTTTTATTTTTAAAATAAATGAATCTCTTCCCATTTAAAAAATTAATTTGTATTCAGTTTTCCTTTTACAGAAAAATAAAATGAATTTTGTCAACATTATCTAAATAAGACAACTAGAAATATGATGCATCCAATGTTTAATTCAGATGTGTTTGTATTTACATTTCATTCAACGGAGCACCTACCCTGTCCTTCAGTCTCACGTTTATGTATTGGAAAGCTTAAAAAGTCCGTTGAGCATGAGTGCAACAACTCTACCAAAATAACCTTACAATATCACCATCTATCAATAACTGAAACCGCCCATCTACCATAAGTCCTTTTAAAGAATCTTTGAAGACAACTATTTAATTGGCTGCATATTTAGAAAATTTTCCCACCTAGGACAAAATACCTAACTCAATAAAAATAATTGTGGATGTTTACTGCTTTCGTGTCATGATTGTTAAATAATTGTCTGGACCTGAGTGCCAATTCAAGAAAATAACCATGATATTGCCAGCCTGCATAGCGCATGATCAAACCAACAAAATACTGTTAATTGACTGCTTCACGGATAGAAGCTGAATTCACAACCTAGTGAGGAACCCCAACTAGACAAGACAGGTCAGATTTGGGGAGGAACCCGCAACTAGACAAGACGGGTCAGATTTGGCGTGCTGACCGTTAGCCCGTCATAATAAGACATGTCCGTTAGTCTCGTCAAATCTATCAACCCATTAAGTCAATGAGAGATAAATCAGTTTACGATTCACTTTATTAATAATTTTATTAATAATTTTTTTAATTGTAATACGATACAATAATTTAGAAAAATAATATATAATATAAAAAAATTATAAAAAGAAAATTCTAAAAGTTTCCAGTATCTCATAAATAGAATTATAATGTTTAAGTATTTCAATATTAAAAAAATTTAAAAAGTTTTATAAATAATTCATTTATGAAAGTAATTCATTTAATTCAAATATTATTTATTTTTATTTTTTATAATCATTTTTTTACTAATTTTTTCTTTCTCCAATTTTGTGTATAGTTGAATATGAGGAAGAAAATGATAAATATGGAAAACTGGAGAGATCTTCAAATTCTGTATCTAATGATTCGGATATTAATTTTGAATTAAAAATGTAAAAATTACTCAATGGGAGAACAATATAAAATTTTATCAAATAAATAAATATAATGTAATTTTCATTTAAATGTTTAAACTTTTCACTATAAAAATTTAATAATTTTTTACTATTACATACATATATTTATTATTATATAAATTTTATCTTAATTTAGTTATTCTAAAATATAATTTATTAAATTAATATATTAATTTACATTATTAACTTAATATATATATATATATATATTAAATTATTGACTATGATATTTTATTATTAAATTTATTAAAAAATTTAATTTAAAAATAATAAAATAAAAAATATAACGGATCAATTGTGAAGCTGTCTTTTGGCATGATGCGCTAAGACTCATCATGAATATAGTGGCTAGCCCACTTACACCCATTTTTAGTAGGTCAAAGATGAAATGGGTTAAAACGGAATGGAGTAACCGTTTTGTCATCGACCCATTTTATCATCTACCCAAATAAGTCGTGGAAACCGTGGCATTTCCACAACACAATACATCAAAATGAGAGATGAACAGACAACCTGTAACATGCTCACCAAGGCCCAAAAGTGGAAGAATAATGTTCTCAATCAGGGAGTATTTGCTCACTGTCAGCATCTGCCTCGGTCTCAACCTTGGGCTTTGAAGGTGCCTGGCCGGTTCCAGGGGCCTGCCTCTTCTTAATACCGCTCACTATATCATCAATCCGCAGAAGCATGCAAGCAGCTTCAATGGCAGTCTTAAATGTTTGTGCTTTCACGTTGTATGCATCCCAGATCTAAAATCACACAAGAACAAAACATCTTCAGAATTCACCCAATAATCCATGGTTATCAAAGAAATCAAAGAAACAAGATAGAGAGAATGTAAATCTTGTATTAAGTGGGGGAGGGAAGCAATTAAAAAAAATATGTTTTTGTTGACTTTGTTGTCTTCTAGGAATAACTGAATCGTGTTTGTTCAATTCTAAAGTAATGGCTAACTTTGGTGGGCAAAATGGTAATTGGTGGATTTGACAACCTGTTGCATGATTTACAAATAAAAGAAAGAGTGGTGAGCTTTTCACAATCAAAAAATCATGTAACCCTTTAAATAATTTACTATTAAAAATAAAAATAAAGTAAAATTATTATTACAATATTAAAAGAGAGTTATTTATAGAAAAATGATACTTTGACAACCCAATTTTATACAACTTTAACCAACAACCCACTTTTAATATTATAATAATAATTTTAACTTGTTTTCATTTTTATTAAATCTCTTTCATAATTATTATATTAATAAAATGGGTTGTTTTTTGAGTGGTTTGTTGTTATGGTTGTCAAAATATCAGCACCCTTATTTATAAGAGTTGTCAAAATATCATTTTTCTATAAAAGAAAATAAAAGCAGCTGGCATTCTTTCATGTCAGTGATGTCACCAGTATTTCCATTTATGCCAATACATGCATTTTCTCCATTTGCATGCTGTATTCCAAAAAGACCAATGTCAAAAACATAATCAGAGAAATAATCATCTACAGCTGCAACAGCAAAAACTCTTACTTTTCCTTGTAGTGCAGTCATAGTGCGGATGACATTTACTCCACAATTTTGTGCCAAAGTACGGGGGATCGCCTCAAAAGCAATGGCAGCAGCTTCATAAGGCCACTGTTAGTCGACAAGAAAATCAAAATGAGAATAACTGTAGGCTAATGCCATGAGACAAAAATAGTATCAGTAGACAAAGAACAGACAATGACTATCAGACTCACCTTCTCAATACCTTGAACAGATGAACTCTTCTGCTTCAACGTGGCTGATACAGTCAACTCAGAAGCACCACCTCCAGGAACAAGTTTTGGATTTTTTATTATATTCCTTGCTACAGACATGGCATCCTGTCATTGGAAAAACCTTCAGAAAGCAATGATCGAAACCCCAAGCTCGAAGTAGAAATCAATAGATTGTTTACCGTGAGGTTTCTTTCAACTTCATTTAGGAGATCCTTGCTAGCACCCCTCAGTAGTACAGTGCAAGCCTTCGGGTCTTTGCATTCAACAATAAATGCAAAAAATTCATCTCCAATTTTCTTAACTTCAAATAACCCGGCACCAATACCAACATCAGCCTCCTGTAATTCATCTGGTCTGTTCACAATAACAGCACCACATGCTTTTGCAATTCTATTATTATCAGTTTTCCTCAGTCTTCTGATTGCACTAACTCCATGCTTACTCAGAAAATGGCATGCCATATCACTAAGGCCTTTCTCTGTAATCACCAAATCTGGTTTGAACTTCAATATCTGCATGCAGAGCTCCTCAATGTATTCTTCTTCGATCCTCAACAAAAGACTCCAGTCTTCTTCTTTGAGCAGTTCAGCATTTGTTTGATTTTCACCCTTTTTATACTCAAGGGGACAATCAAGAAGAATGACACGTGGATTAACAATCTTTCTTTTCATCTTGCCAGGGGCAACAACATCTTTGTTTATCATAACTCCTTTAAGAACCCTTGAATCCTCCAGCTGCCCACCAGGGACCTTCTCAACCTTTATATAATTTTTAATATCTACATCTCTCAAACCAAGGCCAAGATCAATATCTACTGTGGTAGTAGCATCAATAGCTAAATCCTGAAAGTTAAACAAAGTGGAATATGTAAAATAAACTGTTAACCTGTTGCATAATAACTACAATAATCACTTACACTCGTTCACAAAATTATAATCCTATTCACTAATAGAAAATGATAAAACGAATAGGGAAGAGTAGAACTAACACAAATACTCCTTTATATGTTGTAATTGTATAACAAAGTGGTTTAAACTTATCCTATAAAATAAGTTTGTAAGATGAGGTTTGCACTTATATAATATAATTGATCATATATTTCTAGTTAATGAGAGATCCCCAACACATCTATCACGTTAAGGACTAGACGTCTCGAGCATATGGGTGATTTGATAGCCAATGACACGATAGATCCAACAAGCTTTAGTATAATAGACTCTAGTACCATATTACAAAGTGGTTAGCCTATCCTAGATCCATTCAAAGGAGCACTCACCATTATATCCAAGTACTATTACTGAACAAGAGCGCGAGTGTATTGGGAAAACCCAAGTCCCACATCAACTAGAGATAGTGCCAAATTACAATATATAACTGCAAGTTTCAACTGTCATTGTAGAATTGAATTAGACTTATACTCACTTTCTAATACATGCACCAAACACGACAGTGTTGTATATTGGGTGTATTGGAAAAATTCAAGTCCGTCATCAACTGATAGTGTCAAAATCGTATACAAGAAAGCAATACAAAAAAAATCATATTAAAGAAACTATATGCTTGACAACTTATACATTTTCCTTTCAAGAAACACTAAAAGGATTATGCCTATTTATTTTGGGTAAGGTTGTGTACATCCATCTTTCCCAACCCCAGCTCGGTGGGAGCCTCATGCACTGAATTTTAACAAGTCGGAATAAAGATAAAATAACAAAGACAAATTTGAAATTTAAAAATCTTGCCCATAGAGTACAGGATACTCACAGCAATTAAATCCCCAAATTGGCTAGTGAATTTGGTACCTATACAGCTCTTGACAGTTCCCAGCATTGTACCTCCTGCAGTTTTATTCACATTAAGATTGTGTATCAAAACAGAAATTAAATATCAGTAGTTATACATATATGACAAAACTTACGATCCTTGGCATCAATGGGCATTGCAATTTTGTCAAGGACAGCAATGGCATCTTCCAAAGCTTTATTATAAGCTGCAGAAAACATTATTATATAAGTCATTATACATAATACTATCTCCTTGTAGAAAAGAACCATTGGTTAATACTTATAGACGGACTACCTCGACAAATAACTGTAGGATGATAATTCTTACGTATTAGTGCTTCAGCAACATGAAGCATCTCACCAGCTGCAATGTGGGAGACAACATATAGCCCAATAAATCAAATAAAGATCTGCCCCTCCATTAAGCACATTACAAATCTAAAATTCATCAACCCTGAGCTGTGACTAATTACTAGACCGTGCAAAATACAGCAAAATTAATATGTGGAACATTCGCCCTTCAGTTTCAATTGTTGTTGTTGAAGTATTTATTAGATTAAGTGTATCTTGTTGGACATTTATGAGATTAGTTGTAGACCTAGTTCCTAGAATGCATCTGTTTATCTTCTCTAGGATTAATCATGTCTCTCTATTAATTGTATCTCTAAATCTGTATTTTTATCTCCTATAAATAAAAGAACACAAGAAGATGATTTCAGACTCTCAAAATCAGTTATTTATTTTCTTTTTTCTATTTCAAGTTGGTAACAGAGCGGGTTCATCCCGCTCTGCCTGTCTCTGTTTTTTTCTGGCATTAATCGCCGTTCACCGCCGTCCGCCGCCGGTGCTGTCTTCTCTGGCGCCTTTTACCTCTCTGACACTTGGGTTTGGCTCGCCTCGAGGAGCGCGACCCAACCCCAGTGTTCGCTTCCTCTATCTCTGCCTCATGCGCCGCCACGCGCCACCCTCGTCCGCGGCTTCCTTCGCACGTGGGCCTCACGCACCGCCCTCTCGATGGCTGTTTTGCTCCAGGCCACCTTTATCCGGCTCGCCTCGTCGCCCTGGTGCCAGATCTGCACTTTGTTTTGTGTTCTCGGTCACAAAACGTGGTGGGTCTGCGTTTTTCTCTCTGCCTCTCTCGGTCCTCTCTCTGACAGCACGCTGGTCCTTTCTTGTTTCCTTAAAAATGTCAGGACCTGTGTCTGTATCTTTTTCTAGGACTCCGACTATAACCACAGAAAAATTAAATGGAAAAAATTATTTGTCTTGGGCTTCCTCTGTTGAGCTCTGGTTTCTAGGTCAAGGAGTTCATGATCATCTAGAAGAAGATGGAAGTACTATACCAGCAGATCAGGCTCCTCAATGGAAGAAACTGGATTATCAACTTTGTGCACTATTATGGCAATCTGTTGAACCACATATTTTGAGCACTCTTCGAGCCTTCAAGACATGTAATTCTTTTTGGAAAAAGGCTCAAAATATCTTTGCTAACGATATTCAACGACTTTATGATTATGCTAATAGACTAGCCTCCCTTAAGCAAGAGGATAACTCCATGATGTCCTTTGTTGCTGAAGCTCAGTCAGCTGTTGAAGAATTAAAAATGTTCCTGGAGGCAGAATCATTAGAAGAAAGGAAGATGAAGCTGGATAAATTCTATATGGTAATGATTCTTAGGGCTATGAATCCAGAGTTTAATCATGTTAGAGACCAGATTCTAACTGGAGAAGAAGTTCCTTCTACAGAGAGTTTAATCACAAGGCTACTTCGTGTTCCTTCTATCAAAAGTAAAAACAGTCAGGAACTTGCTGATTCTTCCGCCATGATTTCTGCTCGTGGAAGAGGTAATCACAGCTCTAGAGGACGTGGTGGAAAAGGACGTCCTCAGTGCTCTCATTGCAAAAGAATGAGACATACTAAGGAAAATTGCTTTGCTCTGCACGGCTTTCCTGATAAGGCAGCTAATACATCAAAATCTGAAGTTGATGAGCCCAAGTTCTCTCACGAAGAGTATCAAGAATATTTAAGGATGAAATCAACCAATTTGGCTCAAGCATCTACAACACCAAATTCGTCAACCGCTGGCATTTCGCAATCTGTGGAAAGTCAAAATCCATGGATTATTGACTCAGGTGCTTCTGACCACATGTCTGGTAATACCTCTTTATTTTCCTCTCTTTCATTTCCTAAAACATCTCATCTCATATCTTTAGCTAATGAATCTAAAGTAGCCTCTAAAGGAATTGGTCAAGTATCCATCTCTTCTTCTTTAAACCTTCAAAATGTTCTTTGTGTTCCTTCGTTTCCATTCAGTCTTGTTTCTGTAAGCCAATTAACCAAATCATTGAATTGCTCAGTAACCTTTAATGTCAATTGTTTTGTTATCCAGGAACGTGGTACGGGTCGACTGATTGGAGAAGGACGTGAATCTGGAGGCTTATACTACCTTAGGACTAAGTCATCTGTATCTTGTGTTGCGTCCTTATCCCCAAAACTGTTACATGAGCGATTAGGGCATCCTCATTTAGCAAAATTGAAAAAAATGGTTCCTGAACTTCAGAACCTTCAAACTCTTGAATGTGAATCCTGTCAACTAGGAAAACATACCAGGTCATCCTTTCCAAATCATTTTGAATCTAGATGTGATTTTGCTTTTAGTATTGTTCATTCAGATATATGGGGACCTAGTCGTGTTTCATCTTTTGGTTTTAGATATTTTGTTACTTTTATTGATGGGTTTTCTAGATGTACTTGGGTTTATCTTATGAAAGATCGTTCTGAACTATTGCCTATCTTTAAGTCTTTCCTTAATGAAATCAAAACTCAATTTGGAAAAGTAATCAAAGTTTTACGAAGTGATAATGCCAAAGAGTACTTTTCTAATGATTTTTCTAATGTCCTAAATTCTCAAGGCATTTTACACCAGTCCACGTGTCCTTACACACCACAGCAAAATGGTATAGCAGAACGAAAAAATAGACATTTGGTTGAAACTGCTCGTACCTTATTGCTGGGTGCCAATATGCCTATTCATCATTGGGGAGATGCTATTCTAACTGCATGCTTTCTCATTAATAGAATGTCATCTTCTTGTCTTGATAATAAAGTTCCACATTCTATTCTATTTCCAAAGGAACCAATTTTTCATGTTTCTCCTAGGGTATTTGGATGTATATGTTTTGTTCATGACATGTCTCCTGGCTTAGATAAACTCTTACCTAGAGCTATCAAATGTGTCTTCTTGGGGTATTCTCGTCTTCAAAAAGGATATCGGTGTTATTCTCCTGAAACCAAGAGGTACTACATGTCTGCTAATGTCACCTTTTTTGAATCATCATCCTTCTTCCCTTATTCTATGCAAGATATTGATTCTGTCCAAAATGTGTTTCCTGTTCCCTTAGTTGAATCAGTTGTACCTCCTATTCCTGACACCCCAAATCCCAACCAAAATACTCTAGAATCAGCATCACAGCCTATCATCACCTATCAACGCAGGAACCAGGTGAACAATCTCATTCCCCAAGATGAGCCATCCATAACAGGTCCTTCACCATCATCCTCTAATACCACGGCTCTTGATAACGATGACTCCAGTTGGCCCATTGTCATTCGCAAAGTTACTCGTTCTACTCGTAATCCTCATCCCATTTACAATTTTCTTAGTTATCATAGATTGTCTCCTTCCTATTGTTCTTTTATTTCCTCTGTCTCCTCTATTACAATTCCCAAAAATGTGGTTGAAGCGCTTGATCATCCTGGATGGCGACAAGCCATGATTTCTGAAATGCAGGCTCTTGATCACAGCAAAACATGGAAGCTTGTTCCTCTCCCTTCGAGAAAGAAAACAGTTGGTTGTCATTGGATCTATGCTATTAAAGTTGGGCCCAATGGTTAGGTTGATCGTCTTAAAGCAAGGTTAGTGGCTAAAGGGTATTCTCAAATATATGGACTTGATTATTGTGATACTTTTTCTCCAGTAGCCAAAATGACCATTGTCCGCTTGTTCCTTGCCATGGCCGCCATTCGTCATTGGCCTCTTCATCAATTGGATATTAAAAATGCTTTTTTGCACGGTGACTTAGAAGAAGAAGTTTACATGGAGCAACCTCCTGGATTTGTTGCTCAGGGGGAGTCTGGTTTGGTTTGTAAATTACGTCGATTCCTCTATGGCCTAAAACAATCTCCACGTGCTTGGTTTGGAAAATTCAGCTCTATTGTTCAAGCTTTTGGATTAAAACGCAGCGAAGCAGATCATTCAATGTTTTATTGTCACACTGCCCCTGGCAAACATGTTTATTTAATTGTGTACGTTGATGATATTGTCATCACAGGGAATGATGCTGCTAAAATATCTCAGCTAAAAGAGCACTTGTGTAGTCATTTACAGACCAAGGATCTTGGAAATCTAAAATATTTCTTGGGTATTGAAGTAGCTCAATCAAGAGAAGGTATTGTCATCTCTCAAAGGAAGTATGCTCTAGATATTCTAAAAGAGAAAGGTATGATTGATTGCAAACCTGTGGACAGTCCTATGGATCCAAATCTGAAGTTAATGGCAGGACAGGGTGAAGTTTTCTCTGACCCAGAAAGATATAGAAGACTGGTTGAGAAACTTATTTATTTGACGATTACTAGACCCGATTTGTCTTTTGCGAGTTGGTGTTTTCAGCCAATTTATGCAAGCTCCTTGTGTGGATCATTGGAATGCTATCATTCGAATCTTAAGATACATTAAAAAAGCTCCAGGACAAGGATTATTATATGAAGATAAGGGAAATACCCAAATTTTTGGGTACTTGTGATGCTTGACTAGGCTGGATCTCCTATGGATAGGCGTTCCACTACGAGGCTATTGTGTTTTCATTGGAGGAAATATCATTTCATGGAAAAGCAAAAAGCAAAACGTTGTTGCTCGATCCTCTGCTGAAGCTGAATATAGGGCAATGACGTCTCTTACTTGTGAACTTGTTTGGGTAAAACAATTCTTGCAAGAATTGAACTTCTGTGAGATTCAATCTATGAAGATGTATTGTGATAATCAAGTTGCTCTTCACATTGCTTCCAACCCAGTATTTCATGAGAGGACTAAGCATATTGAGATTGACTGTCATTTTATTCGGGAGAAGTTGTTGACTAAAGAAATTTGTACTGAGTTTGTTGGTTCCAATGAGCAGCTTGCAGATGCATTAACAAAATCTTTGAGAGGACCTCGAATGGAATTCATTTGTTCCAAGCTTGGTACATTCAATTTGTATGCTCCAGCTTGAGGGGGAGTGTTGAAGTATTTATTAGATTAAGTGTATCTTGTTGGACATTTATGAGATTAGTTGTAGACCTAGTTCCTAGAATGCATTTGTTTATCTTCTCTAGGATTAATCATGTCTCTCTATTAATTGTATCTCTGAATCTGTATTTTTATCTCTTATAAATAAGAGAACACAAGAAGATGATTTCAGGCTCTCAAAATCAGTTCTTTATTTTCTTTTTTCTATTTCAAGTGTTGTAATCAAATTATCAATCATTTCAAATATTTCCAGCATAGGATGACAAATAGCATACAAGTGCTCTAAACATACCAAGAATGATGACAGATGTTGTTCCATCTCCAACTTCTTCATCTTGGGTGCGACTCAATTCAATCATAGACTGCATCGATTCAACTAACAGAACATTATATAAAATTACACACCAAACAGCAACTAAACCTTACAACGTCAACACAGACTAAAAACCAGGTTTTCACATGGACATTGCTTTATAACTATTTGTGCAACGCGAGAAAATGCCAAAGAAGTAGAGCAAGAGTGATAAACCATACCTTTGCAGCAGGATGAGCAAGATCCATTTCACGCAAGATAGCATTTCCATCATTTGTCACCACAATACCTAATAATTACCAGGAAATTGGGTGTCAGGTAAATAGATTAAAACATAATCCATGCAAATGAGAAAGTGAATTTCTAAATCAGAGCCTATACTTAATAATGCTCCTGTACAATCCATAGATTATGCCTACTAAAGAAATCACGTTTTCAGGTTACAATAGCCTCCACTGTCCACACCAAAATGAAAAATTTTTAAAAATACTTTCAGCCATTGTACTCATAGCTAAGGAGATTTTTTTCTCTCTTCACAATTAAAAATTAAAGAAGGGCATGGTTCACCAGAATCATCAATAACTTAGTTATAAAATTATGTAAGATAAATACACTAACCTCCCCCTGCATCAAGTAGCATTTTTAGCATGGACCTGGGTCCCAAGGTTGTACGAATTATATCAGCAACAGCCTGATAGACATCAATCATATTAGAAGCACTAGACAGTGGACAAGAAGATGAACTACATGACTGAAAGGATACAGTATGCTAATTTGTTCTAAGTTTTGCCATAAACATATATATTGAAATATTTATATTTGTTGAATACTTACCTGGCACATCTATGGTTTCATAGCTTTCCAAAAAAGGAGAAAACAAAAAACATACCGTAACAACTTTGGTACATACAAAATATGAAGGGTTCATCCCAAATATAAGGGTAAACTTAAGAAACTATGAATTTTTGAAACAGAACCCTGGAAAAATAAACGAACAAAAGAAAATGGGTAACTAGACACATTTTCCAACATACATGCAGAATAACTAGGAAGTCACCCTGTCAAAGTTCAGTCTGATGATAACAGTCACTTTTCCAAAATGTGAGGTAAGCTTGCATTATAGTTTTTTTCCTCATGAGGTTAGTTATATTTCTTCATGAGTTTCTAAATTTGATTCTTCAATAATGATGATTAAATTACAAATAGATATAAAAATTCAATACAAAAGAAAGACCATATATGAGAACTTGGAGGGTGAAAATGAATGGGAACTAGCCAAAGGTAATGAGGCCTTTCTGGGCTGTTAGCTAGAAGCTGGCAAGGCCGGGCACTTGGACCAGTGTGTGGATAAATAACAAAGCAAACGAGAAGATTTGGGAATCAGGTGCATTAATTTTTTCTCTCTCTTACACTGAAATGTGGCTCTCCCGACTTTTCCTCTATCCTAGTCCACTATCATTACCTTTTCCAGTAATGGGATTCAAGTTTTACATCTATATTTATTGGCTAATACAAATATTCCATCTATACTTATTGGCTATTGGTAATTCCTTAATCTAAACTAAAATTAGAGGAGATTTGTCCATATGTTGTAGTGTAGCACTTTTTTATCTTCAGCATTATCTGTCATTACACCCTTTCTTACGCAATCCTTTAAAGTTATAAATTAAGCTTTCCTAAAAGGAGGAATCTCACAAAGTAAAATGTCAAGAATAGAGTCATGCAAAAATCAGCACCACCAGAATAGTTGGTAATTTATTTGTAACGTTTCATACCTTTGCTGCATGAATATTAGCATGCTGCACCTTGCTTCCAGACTCACGTTTCAATGAGTCCTCTGTCCAATTTAAAAAACAAGCACTCGATGAGTGAATCAGTACAAGATGCTACGAACCCACTAAAAATACCCTATCTTAATTTATTTAAGATACAAACAAGTGGACACAAGAAAAATTAAAATTAATCGAAGGGAAACTGTACATTATTTTCCATCTAATACGTGGTAGAAAAAACGAAGATCATGTTTCCAAGTTGAAACCAAAAGAGAAAATGATGAAAATTAAGTAAAACAAACAGAGTCTTGTTATCTAATAATGGTTACGATCAATTCAATTATCTTGACAGATAGATAAAACAACCGCAGTGTTATTGTGTTCTTATGCAAAATAAGATTATTGAAATTCATTGCGAATCCTCCAAAAAGAAAGGAAGAGAGAATTTACTGAGAACTAAAACCGGCGACTGCATGATTTGGAGCTTTAAGGCTATGGGAACGAGTCTTAGAAAGAGAAAATGCTGCAATGACACACACGGTTTCCGTAAGGAGATTCCAGATCGCGCATAGGGCGAATATACAATAATAGAGAAAGGTGGTATGAATAACTGCGACGAAGAAAAGGATGTGGATTTAGTTTACCTGGTAAAGAGCGCTATCTGGAGTTTGAAGGAAAGTGATGATCAGTTTAAAGGTTCGTGAGGTGGCCTTGGTAGTACGTATCAGAGAGAGCAGGAATGTTTGAGTGTCGATTCTTCAGCCAAAATGTGTTTTGGCCAAAATCCTCACCAATAACTTTCATTCTTTTCTCTTTCATTTTTGGTATATTTTCTCAATATAATTTGGTTGTTTATATTCATCTGCGCGGGATCAATCTCTTTGTGTTTAAGAAGTTAATAATAGACTAAGTCTTTAGTTATCTTTTTTTCTTTTTCTTTTTCTTTTTTTAAAGGTCATTCTTTAAAAAAAAAAATTAATTATACATATGACTTTTTTTATAATTTATTATTTACAAGTGATATGTCTATTTTTTTTAATTGGACAGTTGCTCTTTATATAAAAAACTATATATTCCATATATTTTGATGATTACAAACAAATATTGAATATTTTAATAATAATAAACAAATAAAAACTACAAAATATTTTATTCTTGATAATATTTCTAAAATTATACACTTATTAAGAAATATGAATATGATTCAATGTGTTTATAAGCAAATATGTGAGCTAAGTATATGATAAGTTGTTCTAAAACACAGATAAACTGTTTTATAACAAAATTATCACAAAATATTTACTCTAACCTGTTATGAGAACTTGGTTTGGAATAATATTTTTCAAATAGTTGTTTAGAATAGTTCGAAAAAAAATATGAGATTGACATTAAATATAAATACATTATTTTTAAAATCTTTTAAATAACTCTAGTTAAAGATTATAGAAGTATAAGCATATACGATTGGTATAATTTTGTTTTTCATTGAATACAATTTAATTATTTTATCACGTCATTTTAATCATTAAAAATTGTTGGTTGTTTTTAAATATTTAATTTAAAAAATAATTTTGTATACGATGTGACTAAATTTTTAAATGTCAGTACAACAAATTAATACTAGTATAAGTACATATATTTGAAAAAATCCAAAGCATGAAATTCATCATACAACATTATATTTAATTAAATTTATAAAAAATAAGAAGTAATTGATTACTAAGATTAAGTTTGATCATATAAATTATCTTAATTCTGATGAGGTTGCATATATGTATTGCTGGATAGTTGTACAATCTTAATTATAACAAAAATTTCTAATTAATTGATTATGTTAAATGATTTTAATTCAATGTAGATTATGTCTGTGTTGTGTGTAATTTGTAGGGAATGAATCCTCTAAAATTATATTTTTAGTTAGATTATTGCAAATAAATACCTTCACGAAAATCCCATGCTTTTTGAAAAAAAAATATTGTTTTGAACTAAAGGTTGAGATTTTCACTGTTTTAAAACATTAAAATATCCAAACTCTTAATTAATAAAATACTTATACAGCCTAATAACAAATATTTATATTTATTTAATATTTATAATTAATTAATATCATGGTGGTATTTTTTTATGATGCAACAAGTGATTTTTTTATGTATATATTTTATATATGAGATAATTTCATCATATACATTATAAAACAATAAATATTATTATTTTTTAAATAATATTCAAATTTTAATTCCGGCCACAATTTATTCATTTTCCTCTTATGTCCACTCTTAAATACAAATAAATTAGTTGTGATGAGAAAGGATTATAAATCTTTCGTGATAGTGGAGATTTATATTTTTTTTCTAACTTGCTTAAATAAAGTAATTAAAAATTTAATATATTATAACTTAAAATAAATTTATATTTATTTATAAAAAAAGTGTGATTTTATCGCTATTTTGGAAGAGCGGTTTAATAAAAAATTGAACTAAAAATTAATACGTTGTTTTTAATAGTTAAACTTTGATTGAATCGAGATAAAATTAAAAAAAAATCGTAATAATAAGAGGAAAATTGAAAAAGTCCATTAAATTTTTTAATCCAATTGATTTTTTTTTAAAATTAAGATCAAAATTTGTTAATATAATTTATTATAAAATATATGATATAGTTTAATTTTTTATCTTATACTAATTACGTTAATTTTAAATAATAATTAATTTATTATATTTTTATTTTATTATAATAATTATTCATTATTCATTTTTATTATATTTTATATCTATAATTTTTATCATAATTTACGTACATGATAATAATATTTATTATTTTTCCTTTTTATAAAAAATATTATTATTACTAAATTTATTATATATTTATTATATTATAACAATATTATTTTATTAATCAATTAATCCATTAAATCCTAAACTGATGTATTAATCGATTCAATAATTTAAAAAACATTGGATTTTATAAAACTCTTCTCAATTCATCGCACAGTAAATTTACGACAAAGCTTATTAAAAAGGCACTTTCAATTAATAAAATCCATTGTCAATTTTATTGTCTCAAATAAGGTACGTTCATGTAATCAAACTAGTAAGGAATTCAAATTAATATTGATTATATTAGTTAATTTGGATGAACCAATGGCATTGATTAACTTCACACGTTCCATTTGATTGAGGTTCAAAAATATTAGAATATTGACATGTTTTCTCTTTTCTAAATTATTTTATTTTTCCATATTTGTAAATGATCAATTTATTACACATGTTCAACCACGTGAAGTTCCTTCATAGTTAAGTTTATAATAAAATCTTCATAACTTCTGGAACTTAGTGATATTGAAGAGGTATTAAGAAAAAAATTTGCTATGACCCAATTTTATTTCACATGTAAAGAGAGGAGTTAAGTGTCACTATAAAATATGTTTAAAGGTTTAAATTGGGTCTACATGAGTATAAGTTAAACAAATAAGGCTACATTAAAAAAAAAATAAGTAAAAACAATATTTAAGTATAAGCCAATATTGAATGAAGAATAATATTTGTAATTAGTTATGGATGTGATTATTGTAAATATGAATTTTGTCAATAATTAAAAATATTTTTTGTGGTAGAGACAAATAAATATATATATATATATATATATATATATATATATATATATATATATATATATATATATATATATTATATCTCATTAACTTTAAGTAGCAATTTTATTTCTTTTCAAATCCAATAACTTGATAGTAACATTAAAAGTTTCAATTTACTTATAATAACAAAATTAACCCTAACAAAGGTTTAATTTTAAGAAAAAAAATCAATAAATCAACATCGACACATAATTTACTCAAAATGAACGTACGACTAGCATAAAAAGATAATTTAATAATAAGAGATTAAGAAAAAGAACTTTGACATCCATTAATATTTTAAAAAGAATCCTTAACTAGGGAAGATCGAAAAAATAAACTTGACAATAAGAGGTCGAAGAAGAAAGTATTAACTGTGAAGAAGATTGTAAAAGAACCCTGTATGAAGACAGCGATAAAAGAAAATGTTGATAACAAGATATTTGAAAACGATGATGATTTAAATAATTAATATGATCATGGACAATAAAAACCTCACCAAAAGAGGAGTAATTATAAAAAAATATAATTGAAAGTTAATAAATGGAGAGATAATAAAAAATATAAAGTAACAAATACATGGATAAAAACTTTGACAATAATTTTACCAAGCTAACAAATGCTTAAACACCTATTTTCATAATCAATATATCCAACAACATGCGATTATATTAATATAATAATAATAATATCAATTATTATATTAATGAAAACTGAGTTTTTTTGTTGTGTTTTAATTTTGTACAAAAATGTACTTTTTTTTATCCAATTTCAAATATCTCTTAATATACTTGTATTTACATGTAGTGACACAATTTATTAGAAAAACATAATATTATCCTGGAAGTAGAAAATAAATATTTATTTTTTTATTTTAATATATTTTATCTTTATTATAATTTATTTAGACTACCTTGATCTTTTATTTGATAATCTGTATAATTTGGACAAGTTCACGGAACTAAACCCGAAGTGAAAAACCAAGTCAAATTTTTCAAAACACCAACTCCCAACCCTTTTGATTTTATTGAAAAAATATTTTTTTTTTAATATCACAATGTAAGATTATATGATGTGAACAGTGAAAAACAAATAAATTATTAAAAATATTATACACATACACCATGAATAAACTATAATTTAAAATTGCAGAATAAACATACCACTTTTATTTTGCCTACTGAAACACGAATAGAGAATTATACAAAAAAATATAAAAAATGGAAGCATTTAAATAAATAAAAAGAGGGGATAAAACTTGAAGTCGTGAATTGTACTTCACTCCAAGGGAAGTATGATGATAATTTCCATCTAATTAATCTGTGGAAAAAAATGATTGAGGTGGGAATGTGATGACAAGAGAGAGAGAAGAAAAAGAAGGAACCAATTGAGTTGAGCCAAATACATGGCATGCATATGTTAGGCAGACAAATAGAAAAAGGGGAGAACACATAGAAGGGTTGTATGAGATTTTTTATTTTATGTTATTATATTTAAGTTTTATTATATTGTAAAGAGTGGACAAGGCCAACTCAAACCTTCGGTTAAAACAAAACCAATTCCAATTTCCAATTTCCAAACCAATCCTATGAATGAATCCTACGACCGAAGACCCACCACGCGCCCTTGACCACACCAAAGTATTCATTCATAACCATCACATTCATCACTCTCCTCTTCATTTCCTCACCCTTCTTTTGTTTTTTTGTGTTTTTATTTTTGCTCTGTTTCACTTCATTTAGGGTTTCAAAGTCGCCCATTTCTTCTTCCCATCCAATTGAAACCCTCCTTTCATTCCCAACTCGATTTCCCCACCTCGATTCCCTGTATTCTCGCTCTAGATTTTCGGTTACACGGTTGGTTTCTGATGCTGCACCAATTTCAATCTGCTTGCCGTTTGCGAGGGCTGGAATCGGTTGTGGATAGTTACGAATAACTTTTCACTGTTTCTTTTCTATTTGACGAAAGAGGAGGTGCAGTTGTGGGAGTGTTTCGAGGTTCAGTAGTGACTGGTTCATCAAGATTATGATTTAGAAGTAACCCTAGACTGCTCTGTAGGTTCATGGTATTTGATGATTGATTTGGGAGTGTGATTCCCAGAGTGTTTTGCTTTTATTGGGGGGGGTGGGGGAGTGATTGGAGAAGAAGGGCATGGAGAATGGTCACGATGGGAAATTGGCCGAGAAATTCTCGGGCTTGAGTATTAACCAGCATGATCAACAACAAGTGCATGATCAATCTAACCTCTCTTCTAACAACAATGATAACTTGTATCAGGTCATGAAGGCTGTTGAAGCTGCCGAAGCTACTATCAAGCAACAGGTACTCTGCTTTCAACATGTGCTTCGTTATAAGTATGGTTCATCGGGTGGCGCTTGTTCATTATTTAAATTCATACGATGTTTAATCATTAAGATGTATTGCCATGCGGTTCAAGTTTCAATGCTTTGATTATGGCTTATTTAATTGTGTATTTGTGTTTATGTGTTCTGGTGCTTGCTTTTCCCTTTTATAACTGACTATCATTTAGGTATTGAAAAGGAAAAGAGAATAAATATCCTTGAACTTGAGTCCACAAGACATTAGGAACCCTTATTAGTAGGGATGGAATATGACTGGTAATCAAGATTTTTAAATTTTTGGGGCAGTCCTAGATATTGTGAAAAATTACAGACAAATGCCCTCTATGCAGACACATATGTGGGCGATGCAGCCATAAGTGTGGTGGTTGTGTTGCAGTGGCGGACATCCCAGTAATCATACTGTTTTGGCTAAAATTACAATCATAAGCTGTTTATTAAAACCTTACTTGTATTTAATAATAATAAGATTCTTTCTCTCTTTCCCCCTTCTGTTTTGATTGCTATCTTCAATGGGGTTTCAACTTCTATTCTGCTCTTAATAGGAGAATGCCGTCCTTTGCACTTATAGTTTCACTTTGGTTCAATGAAATGGCGGCTTCTTCCATATCATTCCATGTTAGATAGGTTATTAATGATGCAACATGTACCTTTTGACAGGTAGAAGAGAATGACCGTCTTAAGTCTGAACTTCTGAGTAAAGTCAAGGAATTGGAAAAATATGTAAGTTCAGTATTCTGTGATGACATCTGCTTCATTCGTCGAATGTTTTTTATGAGTGTTGTAATATAGTTTTCTTTTTTTATTTGATTGCTTGTTTATATACTAATTACTTTCTGTCACTCTGTTTTTTGAATCTGAATTTCGTTTTACATGGGTAGGAATTGCTAACTGGAGCATTTTTAGCTGAACTTAGGACACTATTTACTTTAAAATGTCCATAGCACTAGGTTATAGGACAATCTTGGACTACTTATATTTGTCCAAGATTGTATATGTATGTGGTCACACACATGTGAGTGTTTTGGATAATTTTGTTTTCATTAACTCAGAAGATAATTACAAGGAGTTAGCATGATAAATGATCCTCCTTAATGTGAAAAGAAGACTTAAAAACAAAGAGGAAGAAAAAGAAGGAACATAAATAGTGTAAAGTTTTCCAATCCCTTAACATATACTGGCATTATATTCTAATTTTATGGATATGCAGTTCAGAAAGCAGAAGTAAATTTGAAAGTGAAATTTATACAATTAATTAAACATCTTATTATCTAAATAACGGGCTTATCCTAATTAAGAAAAAGTTGTAGTATTCTCTTGGATACAGCTGTTTCTACTCTTACATTTTGCCGTATGTCCACTCATCCATCATCCATGGATCCACGTTGGCCTCCTTATTATGCTACACTTATTTTCTTTTTTGCATTTGTTGGTGCTTCACTGCTCAAAATTCATCCATGTCAGAGCTTTGCTAATATTGGTCTTATAACTCTTTGGTAGAATTTTCCTTTAGGTGGTTTGTGACCACAAGTTACCTATATTCTCTGAAGCATTTTTACATTTCATCCACCCAGCTTGAATCTTATGTCTGACCATCAAAATCCTTATCACTCCTAAGCTGGACACAAGATGGGCAGTGATGATTTTCAAGCCTTTGTGGACTTCCGATGATTACTGTTGTTCACCAAGAAGGAAACAATAAACAATTGGCCAGAAACTGATACCATGTGGGAATAGTTCTTGTACTTGAAGTGCTAATTTCCATGCAAATACAGTAATGTCATAAAGCAGATGAAAGAATTGAATTTTTTGTGCTTTATTTGCAAAATCAAGATGTCTGCTCCATAAAGCATTTTCCATGAACTTAGATTTTTAAAACTTTATCCTCCTTTCAGTTTCACGAGAATTTTATTTTCTTTTCCTGATTTATGACTCTGGAAAATGTAAGATGAAGTATTATTTGATAGGGTTATAATAGACTCTTTAAGAAAAAACTACTAAAATCTCGCTGTGCAATTTACACTTTTTGACAGAGGAAAAGAGATTCAGTCGATCAAAGATCACATTTGGTTGCTCCATGGAAGGATCAGGATCACGGATCTTATGAAGCTCATCAACCAGGACCATCTTTAGGTAATTGAGTAAATAAGCTGAAGGGGCCTCTTTTCTAGCTGATCTTCCAGTAAACTAGTTGTCCATCAATAACAAACTTCAAATGGATGCAGCCAGAGGCAATACAGGTGACCATTCTGCCAAAAGTAAAATAAATGGAACATTGAGAGTACAGCCAAACGACCAGTTGCCTGTGGATAATATAGGCTACTCTCAGTTGTCTTCACCATCTACAAGATCAGTCTCTCCAAGCAGGTATGTGATATAAAATATCAATTATAGTGATAAAGCTACAATGTGATGTCTTATGCATTCTATATATAAGTAGTGTTCAAGAAGGGTTGTGTAATTTTAGAATCTTGTATTTGTCATAGGCATCTACTAGAAGGAGATCATGATCCCAGATTTAATTCGCCTCCGCAAGGTTTGATGCCTGTGGCTGAAGCAAATAATAATAATAATAGCTTATTGAAGCAGGTACTACCTTCAGTTCTCAAATTTCAAATTTCATTAGAGCTCGATATATAGAGTCATATGTTTATCTATTTAGGATCTGGCCATTAAGATTCAGGAACATGAAGAGGAGATCATCCTATTAAGGAAGCATCTTGCAGATTATTCCGTAAAGGTAAAAGCTGTAAAATATCATTTTAAGCAGTGATCCATAGATCTTTAGAGAATACTTTGCTTCAATGTCCATTTTAGTGACCCTTTCCATGTTTTTAGGAAGCACAAATACGCAATGAAAAATATGTCTTGGAAAAACGCATTGCATATATGCGTCTGGTATGCATTGAATTTTGTTGATGTCTTTGAATTTTCTTAATCATCTTTATTCTCTACCTTTTGGACTTTCCTGATATTTGATTGAGCTTATGCTAAAATGAATACTTTGTAACATTGCTGCTAGGCCTTTGATCAGCAGCAACATGACCTTGTAGATGCTGCATCAAAAGCTTTGTCATACCGACAAGACATTATTGAAGAAAATATACGTCTTACATATGCATTACAGGTTATTTTTTGTAACTGTTTCCTTGTTATTGGTGTATGTTAAAATTCGGATGGTTTCTATAAGTATTTTCAATGAGTCTCCATGAATAGTAACTTGTACTGTTTGTTATGTGTTTCAAGAATCAATTTTTAAGTTTTTGCATTTTCTTTTCTGGTCAGGATGCACAACAAGAAAGATCAACATTCGTTTCATCTTTACTGCCTCTTCTTGCAGAATACTCTCTGCAGCCTCCTGTTCCTGATGCACAATCAATTGTTAGCAATGTCAAGGTCAGCTTTGTTCTGTTTCCTTTTTGAATTAAGTAATGCTGCTACCCTTGTACAAGCACTTACAATTATAACATACAAATATGACACTTGGATGTATTTAACTCTCTCTCTCTCTCTCTCTCTCTCATGTTGTCAAGGAGAAAAACCCTTGAAGCTTTACTATGTTGAAATAAGACTAATGAAGGGTAGTAATAGATATCCATAAATCCCGCTTCTCGTTTCTTCATTATATATATAGGTTAATGCTGCTGCTTTTTTTTTGTCTTCTGTTATTTATGGTGGGAGTATGAAAGTTAAGTTGTGCACTTCCCTTTTCTCAAGCAGTTTATGATATCTTACATAGAAAAGTCCGTTGAATCACTGTATAAAAGGTCATATGATGATTACTGAAACTGTCTCTTTGTTTGCTTTTTGGCAGGTTTTGTTTAAACATTTGCAGGAGAAACTTCTTCTCACCGAGGTATGTTGGACAAAGACTTGAGTGCTTTGTAATCCTGTATGAACTCTTATGGTTTCATTTGTGGTTCAATAGAATTAGTGCTCTAGTTTAGTTTCACTTGATATTAAATATTGCTGAAATTTTGGAATGTTTACTTTCCCTTTTTGCTAAAGGAATTGATTTTATTGGTTATATTTGGCTTTGTTACAGTCAAAGCTAAAGGAGTCACAATATCAATTGACGCCTTGGCGTTCGGATATGAACCATGCTAATGTTGCCACACAGTCTCACTCGACTGGTGCACCTTTGGCAACTTCTGTATGTTACTTTGTGATTTTGTCTCATTTCCTTGATATGCTTAAATAAAATTCTAAATAATTGCATTTTTTTGTTAGAATAAAAACGGCCTTGAACTGGTACCCCAGAATATGTACTCTCAAGTAAAGTCTCAGGTCTCTGTTGATACTCAGGCAGGCACTGATTGGGATCTATTGGGTCACCACCAGAATGGCTTTAGTGGTGGTGTGGCAACAAGTGTTGATGCTGATGATTTGGGGAGATTTTCACCACTTGCAAGCAGGTGAGCCCGATCAAATGGAGACTGCTACTGTGAACTGAATGTATTGGTGGGTTCTGTTTTCATGGAATCTTTGTTAAAGTGGTCCTGATGCATGTAATTGTTCTGTTCCATTTGACTGATGTGGTTGTGGATAGACTATTCTTTCTAGGCAATATTTGGTACTATTCTTAGTGGATCAGATCCTATTATTTAAACATGGAGACTTGCCTTTTAAGCCGTTCCATAACATGACATGCAACTTTTATGGCTCCATCATTATCTAAACGAATGATATAACTAGTCATTATTATCAGTGAATGTAAAGGTAACTACATTTTGTATTGTTCTTGAAATAACTGTCTTAGAAAAGAAAACTTGTGATTCGCATATTATTGGGATCTCATTTACTGTACATATGGCCATAGTTGAGCTTATCAAGGCTTTGACAATCCTTACCTTGTGAGTTAGTTTTTGGGATTCTTTTAGGGCCAACTCAAATTTAAGACAACATTAGATCTTTAGGCTATATGTGATCTTGGGCTACCCTTACTTGTCCAAATTTCTACTTCATGGTTTTCCTAGTGCAGTGAAAAAAATATTTGTACAATCTCCATCTGGTAGATGTTCAATCTTAGGTGTGAGGGGATTCCGCATCAACTAAAGAAAATATGGCCAAAGCAGGATATGGTCAAAATAGAGCTTATAAAGGCCAAGACAATTCTCATTTTATGAGCTAGCTTTTGGGGATTTATTAGGCCAGACCTAATTCAAGACAAGTGGTCAATTATTGGGGTTTGCATGACATGTAGCTGTACTTGGAACAGTGATTGATATGTGCATTTAGCTGACCTGTCAGTTGTAGTCTATAAAATAGGAAATTTAATTCTTGTGCCATTCATGTAATGGTTCATAATAACTGTTAGAATAATTATTAAATCTATGTGTAATCATTAAGTCGGAGTAGGGGGTAGTGTGTTGGAAACATCTACCAATTGTCCTACTGTTGTATCTAGTTTTGTACCTAGGTGTCTAGTGCGACCTTAGATCTTCTATGCTCTCTTGTATCAGACTTTTCAATATAAATAGAAGATGATTAAGAGGGGTGATTAAGCCCCCCAAACTATATTTTCCTGTTTTTTAACGTCAAGTTGGTATCATAGCGGGTTGATTGTGTTATACCTGTCTCAGTCATCTCCGGAGCCACCGTCCGCCGCTGTCCACCATCACAGTTTCTTCCGGCGACCACCGGATCTGGATCACTTCTCCGAGCGACAACCAACCCTGTTGTTCTCGGAAGCCAGTTCCCTCCCACGTGTTGTCACGTGCCTAGTCAAAATCGGTTGCAATCAGGCGTGTGTCACCCCCACGCGCCGCCTTCTCCCCGTCTGAAAGTTGTCGCGCTGCCCTCTATGGGTATCGGTGGAGCCTTCCCTCCCTTTTTTGACCCTCAAAACTTCATTTTGGCGAATTCCAAAAGCCATCCTGGCGAAGGTCACCGTAGGGGTCTCTTGCCCAAGTTGTTTTCTGGTTCTCTATCAACAAAAATGGCTACTGGAGTTGTTGTTTCATTCTTTGGAAGTCCTTCCATTACTTTCGAGAAAACTAAATGGAAAAAATTACCTTTCGTGGGCTGCATGTGTCAAAGTATGGTTCCTTGGCCAAGGTCATCATGACCACCTTGAGAAAGATGGATGCCATATGCCTCCTGAAAAGGCTGATTAGTGAAGCAAGTTGATTTCTAGCTGTGTTCCCTGCTATGGCAAATTGTGGAACTGAGGCTTTTGATTTCCCTTAGAGCCTTTAAAATTTGCCGCCTTTTTTGGAAGAAAGCTCAAGACATTTATGCATATGATATTCAACGTCTCTATGATTCTGCCAGCAGACTGGCATCTCTCAAACAAACTGACCATGATATGATATCCATCATGACCGAAGTGCAATTAGCAGTTGAAGAGCTAAAGATGGTCTAGGAAGTAGAATATTTGGATGAAATCAGGAAGAAACTTGATAAATATTATATGGTGATGATCTTCCGTGCTTTACACCCAAACTTTGATCATTTATGAGATCAACTTCTTACCAGTCATATGGTCCCTTCCATGGATAGCTTGACCATACGCCTCCTTCGAGTCCCAATGCCTCAAAGCAAGGAAGTTCAAGAACCGGTAGAACCATCTGTCATGGTTGCCACACGAGGAAGAGGAGGACGTGGCACTAGGGGAGGATGTGGTGGCCGAGTGTGTCCTCAATGTACATACTATAAAAGGATGGGTCACACCCAATAAAACTGCTTCTCCTTACATGGTTTTCTTGCCAAGACAACCAATGTCTTTAAGACTGAAATTTCGAACTCCAGATTCACTAAGGAAGAGTATCAAGAGTGTGTTAGGTTAAAATCTAACAACTTGGCACAAACATCTGAAACTCCGAGTACATCAACAACCTGTATTTCCCAATCTATGGAAGGTGAAAATTCATGGATAATTGACTCAGGTGCTTCTGATCACATCTTCGGTAATACCTATTTGTTCTCATCCCTTTCTTTTCAAGAAAAACATCATTTCATAACCTTGGCAAATGACTCTAAAGTTTCCTCAAAGGGAGTCAATCAAGTCTCCTTCCCTAAATCTAAAATCTGTCATTTTTGTCCCTAATTGTCCCTTCAATTTAATTTCATTAAGTCAGTTAACCAAAACGTTAAATTGTTCAATAACCTTTGATAACAAGTCTTTTATTATACATGAACGTGGTTTGGGGAGACGAATTGGAGAAGGATATGAAGCTGGAGGTTTATACCATTTTGGATCTAGTTCACATGTTTGTTGTGTTCCAGCGCAAGTCCTAAATTGTTACATGCACGATTTGGTCATCCTCATTTGTCAAAGTTAAAAATAATGGTCCCCGAGCTTAGTAGTTTCTAGATCTTAGAATGTGAGTCCTGTCAATTAGGAAAACATGTTAGATCTATCTTTCCTAAAAGGTCTAAAACAAGGTGTAATTCTAGTTTCTTTATTATCCACTCTGATATTTGGGGACCTAGTAGCGTCTCTTCTTTTGGTTTTAAATATTTTTGTCACATTCATTGATGAATACTCGAGATGTACTTGGGTTTATCTTATGCAAGACTACGAAATCAAGAACGAAATTGTCTATCTTTACATCCTTTTTCCTAATGATCATCTTTCACATTTCTCCCCGTGTGTTTGGTTGTGTATGTTTTGCTCATGACGTGTCTCTAGGGTTGGACAAGTTGTCTGCTTGTGCGATCAAATATGTCTTCTTAGACTATTCTTGACTTCAAAAGGGATATCGCTATTACTCTCCTGAAACCAAGAAGTACTATATGTTTGCTAATGTTACATTATTTGAACAAACTCCTTATTTTTCTTCATCCGTTCAAGATGTGCATGTCATTCAGTAGGTCCTCCCTATACCATTAGTCGGGTCCACTAATTCCAGTATCTATGCTAATCCTAGTCTTGGTCAAAGTCCTCTTATTGATATCCATGGGACCCAAATAACTAGTCCAATTATCCAAGAACAAGGTGAATCCTATACTTCAAATTCTTCTCCGTCATCACCCAATACCACGACTGTTGATGAAGAAGATTCAGGTTGACCCATTACTCTTAGAAAAGGTACTCGTTCCACTCGAAACCCACATATCGCCCTCCTTTTGTTATTTTCTATCCTTAGTGTCTTCTATTACCATTCCCAAAAATGTGACGGAAGCATTTAATCATCCTGGATGACGACAAGCTATGATTGCAGAAATGCAGGCTTTTGACCAGAGTAATACTTGGGAGTTAGTTTCCCTTCCACTTGGAAAAAAGGCAGTTGGGTGTCGATTGGTTTATACCGTTAAAGTTGGTCCTACTGGTGAAGTCGATCGTCTCAAGGCACGATTAATTGCATAAGGGTACACTCAAATTTATGGCATCAATTATAGTGATATTTTTTCTCTAGTGGCCAATATGACTACTATCTGCCTCTTTTTTGCCATGGTAGCAATTAGTCATTGGTCACTCCATCAATTGGATATTAAAAATGTCTTTCTACATAATGACCTTGCTGAGAAAGTATACATGGAGCAATCTCCTGGGTTCGTTGCTCAGTGGGAGTTTGGTAAGGTCTGTAAGTTGCGCCGCCTCTCTATGGTCTCAAACAATCACCACGTGCTTGGTTTGGTAAATTCAACTCAGTTGTTTAAAAATTTGGGCTAAAATGCAGTGAAGCATATCATTCAGTTTTTTATTGTAATACCCATCTTAAGAAATGTATTTACCCGATAGTCTATGTTGATGATATAGTTATTACAGAAAATGATGTGGCCGGAATATCTCAATTGAAGGAGTACTTGTGCAAACATTTTCAAACCAAGTATCTCGGGAGTCTTAAATATTTTTTGGGCATTGAGGTAGCTCCATCAAAAGATGGGGTTTTTATCTCTTAGAAGTACGCTCTTGACATCCTACAAGAGATAGGTATGCTTGATTGTAGGCCAAGAGATAGTCCTATGGACCAAAATAAAAAACTAATGACGGAAGAAGGTGAATCATTCCCTGATCCAGAAAGATATAGGCAGTTAGTTGGAAATATAATTTATTTTACTATTACGAGGCCTGATCTATCTTTTGTAGTTGGAGTGGTTAGTCAGTTCATGCAGACTCCATGTATTGGCCATTGGAATGCCATCATTCATATTTTAAGTTACCTAAAAAATGCTCCAGGACAAGGTTTGCTATTTGAAGATAAAGGAAATGTCCAAGTCTCCGGATACTGTGATGCTGATTGGACATACTCCTCAACTGATAGACGCTCTACTACGGGATATTGTGTTTTTCTTGGAGGAAATATTATCTCATGGAAAAGTAAGAAGCAAAATGTAGTGGCTAGATCAACTGCTGAAGCTAAATATAAGACAATGACGTCTCTTATTTGTGAACTTATATGAGTAAAACAATTTCTTCGAGAGCTTAATTTTTGTGAAGTCCAGACCATGAAAATGTGTTGTGATAACCAAGTTGCACTCCACATCGCGTCAAATCCAGTATTTCATGAAATGATCAAACACATAGAAATTGACTGTCTGTCGAAAGAAATTTGTACTGAGTTTGTTGGATCAAATGACCAACTTGCAGATATGTTGACCAAGTCCTTAGGATGACCTCAAATTGAGTTCATTTATTCCAAGCTTGGTACATACAATTTGTATGCTCCATCTTGAGCGAGAGTGTTAGAATAATTATTAAATCTATGTGTAATCATTAAGTCTGAGTAGGGGGTAGTGTGTTGGAAACATCTACCAGTTGCCCTACTGTTGTATCTAGTTTTATACCTAGGTGTCTAGTGCGACCTTAGATTTTCTATGCTCTCTTTCATCAGACTTTTCATCAGACTTTTCAATATAAATAGAAGATGATTAATAGGGTTGATTAAGCCCTCCAAACTATATTTTTCTGTTTCTTAATGTTAAGTATAACATTGCAAATTGCCAGTATGTAATGGTTCATGATACTGTGCTAACAGTGGATCATGGTAAAATTGGCTTTGATATCTTGGTTTTAAGTTGGCTCAGATAATTTTTTTCCTGATGTCTTACATGTAGGCTTATATAAAAAATTTATGAAGTGGTATGTGTTTGGTAGCTCATTTCCTAGGAATTCAACACACTTGAATTCCAACACTTCCCCACAAGTGAGTCTCTGCACATTAAAACACACTCCCTTGTACAATTTTCTGTCAAGTATGATTCCCAACCTATTGGAACACTTCCCCTCGAGCAAAAGTTTTTCTTAACCACAAATACCTTAGTGGTGACCCTTATACCACCATTTAACCAAAAAACATAACCTACTCCATCTATCACTTGACTGAACCAATCACCAAGGCGAACCACATATTCTGATACTTGTTTGGTATTTTCAAGGGTATTTAATTGGGAAATATTTACGAATGGGATGTAACATAATCACATATGAAAATATGACACCATCTTCCATCCAAAACCTAAACTTTCTATTTTTATTCAATATAGGACTTTAACTCATACTTGAACTAAGTTCACCATCGGGAGGTTGTAATGTTTATTTTTTAGTTTTGATATTCAACTAGTAATGATAACGTGATAAAATTTGACATTCCCTGGGCTGTTGGAAACTGACATCTTTGCTCAAATATATTGGCCATTTTGTTTCACAGGAATTCATCAGCCCATGATGCATCCACCACTCACATGGTGGTTACTCAGGGTAATACGCATCCTGGACATTATGGAGAGGAAATGACTAACAAACAGGTCAAATTTCGCGAACCTGTGAGCAACAGTGAAGTTGATGATCCTGATGGAGATGGAACGCACAGTGAAAGAGAAATATCTGCTAACTGGAGTTCTGGCAATGCCCCTTATACAACCACTGTTGATGATCCCAGTTCCTCATATTCTCCTTATTTACCACCAGTTCTTGAAGAACCTTCTTCTTCATTTTCTGAGGGTAAGAATTAATCACCTTTTAAGCTTTACTATACATTCAGAGCCTTGCTGTCGGTTATTCCAAGTTAAATAAATTATGCAGCTGCAGATGAAGATCCATTGCCGGCTATAGAGGGCCTTCAAATTTCAGGAGAAGCCTTTCCTGGAAGGGAACTTCAGGCATGTGGATACTCCATCAATGGCACTACAAGTTGTAATTTTGAGGTGCATTTTGTTTCTTCTTGCTTTGATTCCTTGTATGAGTTTTTCATTATGTATTGATGATTGATATCTATCATAAGCATTTGAAAATTGACATTACCTTGTGTCCCTTGTTGGACTACCAGTGGATTCGGCATTTGGAAGATGGTTCTGTTAACTATATCGATGGTATTGTTATACTTATGCATAAAATTATGTTCTCCCTTTCTTCCAATATGTGATGAACTCAGTAATGATTGATTTAAATTATAGGGGCGAAGCAACCAGCCTATCTTGTCAATGCTGATGATGTTGGTACATTGCTTGCCATTGAAGTCCAACCCCTGGATAACAGGAAGCGCAAGGTACATTGTTCCTCTCATTATAGATCTTACACATATATGCAAAAAAAATTAGTGGCCTGTCATAATGTGGCTTGTATTTAGTTATGGCTTTGCTACCCATGCAACCCAACAAAGAATTAAGAATTTCATGTAGATCTATGGTGGTAATAAGCAACTACTATTTGTAATTTTCATTGATCATACTGTTGATTTAGGTATACTGGGATTAGGGTTGCATGGGATTGAGTGGCTATTCTTTGTAACCTTTATTGATAGTTTTGAATTTCTGTCTCTCTCCTTTGGACATTGGGTCATAGCCAGTATAGTTCAAAGTCAAACCACATTAATTTCCTTGTCTACTAATTTCCCCTTGTGCTATGAGTGCACCTAGCTGCGGAAAAGGAGTTATCTAATCTCTATCTTTCTTTCCAAGAGCATTTTACTTGATAATACCCCCACATCCCAGTCGTGGTTGGGTTCATGTCAATCTGAAATGAAGAGACATCAAAGACTAATTAGTTAGGCTGTCATAGGTTTAGTCATTTATATGTATCTGAGCATGAGAAGTCTTCAAGTCCCCTGAAAGCAACATGAACATCAACTTGTACTATATTTATGTGTAAGAGCAAGCAAATTTCTTTATTCACAAATTAACACAAGAAAATCCTTTACCATTGGCATAAATAGCTTCCTGTCCTTTGAGTGAGGCTGTCAATTTAGGTGTTTTTAAGAGGGTCTATGTAAGTTGAGATAACAAGAAAGGTTAACTAACTCTAATTGTAATTGAGATATAATACATAGGTGGGTCCAATAAGTAGTGGGGGTTACAAAGGCAGAATAATTCTATTTTGAGGGTTTGTATGAGTTGATATGTTGTGTAATTGGACTTCTTTGCTGCCGTAGCCTATGTTCTGAATTACAGTTCATTGGTCAATTTTGTCCAATTTCTTCATTTTTTTTCTTTATCGGATACTAGGTGGATCTATCAAAATTGTGGTGCATCCACACCCAAATTTCTCTGAGAGAAGATCTTATTATTTTGACAACAAAAGGCTGTTAGCAATAAGCTATATACTCTTCTGAAAACCTTAGTTGTTCTCCACACACATGGAAATGGGCCTCCAAATCATACCGAAGTACTTGAATGCAATTTGTAATTGCCCATTGGGGGAAATATGGACAATGTTTCTTAGCAAACATCTGGGTTAAGACTCAATCAAAACTTACAAAAAGAAATAAACATAAATTGAGAGAAAAATCAAACCATCCATGTGACACTCTCAATAAGGGTATATTGGAAAGCTCTGGCCAAATTGGCCCCCAAAAAAATATATGTTTACATTTTAGTCATATCCCTGGACTCAGCTTCTCTATCTGCTGCTGCACCATTATGATTTTTAATTAAATCCTACTGCCTCTAAATACAATACCTGGAAGTCACTTGGAATGACCAACGGTTGGATGAAACTAAAGATGCTGTTAGGTATGAGCACAACAGAGATGAAGACATAGACCAAACTGTATGGAACAAGGAATTCTGGAGGGTCAAATCAGTGAACAGTCCAATCTATTTTAAAACTAATTGACAGTTAGCGACATTGTCCAATGAATGTATTGGTGATATTCTAAGAATTGAGGCAGGTGATATAAAACTTCCAACACCCCCCCTTCCATATATGTATGTCAAACCAGACAAACTTACTAGGATAGGCAATTACCAAAATGAGATATAGACTCTGATATCATTGTCAGATTTCATTTTAAAATTAATTGACATTAAATGAGATTGCCATGGACCTATTGTCTAGGTACTAAACATATTTAGCATGTGCTTTAAGTTGTATGCTAGTCTGAAAGAAAATCGCTGTCAAGGAGCTATGAAACCTAACATAACTAGTTCCTTATTCTTAAAGCTTTTGGTGTGGCTGGACATCCTGCTAAGGTACCTGACATCAGACCAGTCTTATGGCTTGCTCCTTCTGATGGATGGGTCGAATGCAATACTGATGGGACTGTCTAGGGCTCTCTGGGTACTGCTGCCTGTGGGGGTATATTCAGGGACCAAAAAGCATCAATTATGGGCTGTTTATAATAATCCTTTGTGGGCCAAATTTCCTTATATGCATAAATTGTGGGTGCTATTTTGGCAATTTAGATTGCTTTAACTAAAGGATGGTTTAGGATTTGGTTGGAGCGTAATTCTCAATTAGTTGGCCAAGCTTATAAAAATTCAACTATTGTTCAGATTGCGCTATGGATGGATTAATTTGATGGGGAAGACAAAACACATGAGGATTCATGTCCATCATGTGTTTATGGAAGTGAACTATTGTGCAGATAAGTTAGCCAAATTTGGTATTTGTTCATAGTGCTATACATGGTGGGAGCTTCTTTTGTAAACTCTGATTTTTTCAGAGATAAATTTCAACTTCCTCATTATAGGTATTCTTAGTTGGTTTTGGTCTAGTCTCCTACTTTCATTTTTTTCTCCTTTATTATTTGGATCGGGGTGTTGCAGATGATTGTTGTTAATTGCGGTGTCAACACAGCTTGGATGACAATTAGCACTGTGTTGCTTTAGCACTACCATTTTATTTAAAAAAAGTATTTTTGTTGTATATTAAGCTTTTCATATTTTTTTATTTGAATTATATTAATATTTTTAATGTTATATATATGCTATATTTTTAATTAAAAATATCTTTTTAATATTGTGGGGCCATGTAATGGCACAATGCATTGCACAATGGCGCATTATGCTCAACAAGTAACTTCTGAAGTGGGAAGCTTAAACACAATTCATGAATGTGTATTTTGTAAATTGAGTTAGACTGCATTTGGTATTCTGCTAATGGTTATCTAGTCTTCTATTATACTGAATCTCCTCCGTTCTGTGTGATTGTAGGGAGAACCTGTGAAGGTTTTTGCCAATGATAGCAAAAAGATCACTTGTGGTGAGTATATGTATCATAATATTTCCGATGTTCAGTTGTTGCTGCTTTCTGTGGAACTTGAAAGATTTACTTTACAGTGAGTGTTGTGCATTAGGGTAAATTACTGTAGTCTTTTTAGGATTAAGTTCCTATCGTTTTTTCATGTCATCATGTGTTATAGAAAATGAAAAACATATATGAGGGCATGATGGTTGTTGTGACTTGTGAGAAGGAAATTGTTATATTTAGGGTATGTTTGATAGTTAGGAGGCTAGGGTAACATAAAGGAAATGAATAGTAAGCCTTACCCTTTTGTGGATGTTAAGTGTTAAAATGTACAACAAAAGATGTTGCGTTAGTTAAATTTAAATGATTAAATGATCCTCTGTTTCTTAAAAAGAGTAAGCAATTAATCCTATATATATATATATATATATATATATATATATACACACACACACACACACACGTATGCACAACTTTTGAAAGAAGTCATACAATCATGTAAGGAGGATTTATAAAGTCTCCATTCCGTTTTCCTCGTTTTGGAAGATTCCCAAACAAGGGAAAGGTTAAGCATAAGTTTTTCTTTCCAATCCTTGTAAATCCCTTAACGAAACATGTTGTTAGTGTTCTGACCAAGTAACAAATCAAGATTCTAGTTGTGAATCACTGAGCTATTTTTTGAACTGTGAACCGTAGTTTTGTAGCGAATCATATGATTTTGCTACAATGAATAATTACTTAAAGCATATCACATAGATGATGTATATGTTCAATGTAAAATATTAAAACTAGGAATAGGTAAAAACAACTTGCGTAGAAGTTGTTAAGGTTCTAACATAAAACCAATTGGTAATATATGGAGTTGCCTAACATGTATTTAAACCAATATCAAATGACATGAGGTAGGCGATGTGAGACTTTCAACACGCCCCCTCCAATGAAGCCTGTCGGACCAGGCAAAGGGTACTTTTGACCTAATTAAAGGGCAACTTTTGGCCCATGACAATAACCGGAAAGATGTTAGGTTTTGACTCTGATACCATGTTAAGGTTCCAACATAAAACTAATTGGCAATATGTGGAGTAACCTAACATGTATTTAAACCATACCAAATGACATAGGTAGGCGATGTGGGACTTTCAACAAAAGTAATACAAAACTTTCCAAAGTTTAAAATTATGCAAGGTTTAGAGTGTGGATCATGGTAGATTCTAATGTGTATTTTGGTTCCAACTTGCCAATTCTTGATGACAAGAACTTTGGTCAATGGTGTATCAATGTGAGCGCCATATTTGGTTTCAAAGAAGTATTGAAAATTGTAAAGAATGACACTCGAGAAGTGGAGCAAAATGCTATTTATCATGAATCCAAGAAAAAATACACAGCTCTTTTCTTGATCCATCATTGTTTGGATTTTGCCAATTTTGAAAATATATCTATTGCCATTTCAGTAAAGTCTGCATGGGATATTTTGCAGGGATCATGTAACTTATCAAGAAGTAGTAAGGGATTACTTCAGCAAAATTAAAGTGCTTGTCAACTCATCGCAGGGTTGCAGTAAATAGGCTTTAAGAACTTAGATTCCCCAATTTGATCACAATGTGGTGGTGAATCAAGTTGGAAGAGCTGCAAAATTCCCTCGAAGCTTATGAACAAAGGCTTCTTGATACAAGTGTCAAGAGAGTTGCAATTTAGTCTTGTTGCAAGCACACGCCTCTTGAAGAAATGATGGTGGGGACAACAATATATTATATATACTTTTATGCTTTCCAAAATTAGGGTATATTAAGTGAGAGCTATAAAGAAAAACCACATGTTGGACCTGCTCATGTTACCTTGTTACAAAATTTGGAGTCAAATAGGTCTATAAAGTGAAGTAATACCAACCAGAGAAGTTGCAAAATACAAGCCTATGCTAAGTTGCAAAAGGTGTTTTACAAAATGTTGCTTTGACTTACAATGAATTGTTTACACCTTTGTCAAGAATTGAAACTCTACAACCACTTTTTAAATGGGTCACTAGAGAAGGATGTTTATGTGGATTCCACTTGGTTTTGAAGTGACAAGGCATGAAGGAAAGGTGTATGAATTGAAGAAGACTTTATATGACCTATAACAAGCCTCTTTGACTTGAAATAAGAATATATTGTTTCCTTTTGTAGTTGGTTCTATAGTTGTTTTATTGATAGTTTTTCCCCGATGTAGATTACCTACTTATTACTGGTAGCCATGCAACAAAATTTAGAAGTTTGCGATGACACATTTGAGACTACTATCCTATTTTCTTGGAATGGAATTTGTCTCTACCACCGATGAAATTTTCATGTATCAGAAGAGGTACACAACTAAAATATTGAAAAAATTTCATATGTCGGATTGTAATTTTGTCTAAACACCAACTGATTGTCATATAAAGTTAGATGAAGAAGGAAGTGACAAGGTAGTCTATGAAACCTTGTATATACAAAATGTTGATTTGAAACTTTTATGCAACTGGCCTAATATAGTTTATGGAGTGGGCCTAGTTATGAGATTTATAATCATCCAAGACTTTCTCGTATGTTTCCCACTAAGAAGATTACTCAGATATGTGACACTTTGGGCTACATGTTTTCAAAACATGACAAGTATTGCTGAGGAAGTATCTGGTTGTTGTAATTCAGATTCGTGTAGTGAGAAAAAAAGTACAATAGGGTTTGTGCTTATGTGTGTGTGGAGCATATTTCCAACCTCAAGTATGCTAAGATATAATCATTAGAGGGTCGATTACTAAAGGTATTATCTATTGAAGCTTGATGTTTTTATCATGACTTTTGAAAGACGTTTCAGTGGGTTATAAAAGAAGAATATATATAAGTAATGCAAGACTTATGCATGTATTGGAACAAGTCCCCACTGAGTAGAGCCTTGAATCGTCCTTTTTGTTCCCACATTCAACACTAATATTCTGACCTCAAGTCTTTGAAGATAATATCGTTAATCATTGCATTTGAAGCATTATTTATTTTAGAACTCAATGTTTTTGTTATGATTTTGTCTTTAAAATGATATCTTTCTTGGGTTATGAGAAGAGTATTTCTACAAACTACCTTAAAGGATGTGGGACTTTTTGGCGGATTGAAACATGACTTATTTCATGTTGTTCTAAGGAGTCTATGGTGAAATTGTCTTCATTTGAGGCTAAATACCTTGCAACTTTAATGGGAGCTTGTCAAGCCTTGTGGCTTGAGATTGATGTTAGAAATGAAGATTAGAAAAGAAGAACCTATGAAGTTGCTAATAGACATCAAGTTATCTATAATCTTGGCTAAATATTATGTTGCTCATGGATGGAGCAAGCATATTGAGACATGATTTCAACTCCTTAGAGATCAAGTCAGTAAAGGGAAGCTAGAGTTGAAATACTGCAATACTATTGAACAAGTAGCTAATATTTTAAAAAGCCTCTTAAGGTTGACCAATTCAAACTGATTAGAGAGATGACAAGGAGTGCTGTCTATTGCTAATTTGTTTTAAGGGCGAATGTTTTAGATGATTCAATTAGTATTGTATGTTAGTTTAGTAGTTAGTGGGCTGTTAACTAACTACTTGCAACTGTAGCATAAATTTTAATGTTGTATTGTGAATTTGTGATACACAGATGTGTGAGGAATAAAATATCTGATCCAATACCCATAAGTATTGTTCTCTCTCCCTTTTCTTCTTTGTTTTTGTGAGTATGTTCACTCTGTTTTTAACAGTATTTGAGACAAATAAGTGCAAGGAGGGATATTGTTTCAAATTTTATGCTTTCATTTGGCTGAAGGTATCAAAAGTAAATAATTTCATAACAGAACAGTTGATTAGAATAAAAGAAATTAGAAACAAGGAGGATATATATTGTCCCATTAGAAAAGTTAAACTCAAATTAATCTGAATTGACTTGTCTGCTTTGTATGTGTCATACATGTCTTGATTTGAATAGTGATATAGCTTTTCTTTTGTCTCCCTTATTTTCTTATTTAGGGCTTCAAATTGACAAGTCATAAAATAGTTTGACTTGTTCTCTTATGTTATTTGTTTTCAGATCCTGAAATGCAGAGCCACATAGAGAAGGCTTTTTATAGTGGACATGCTTCATATAGAGTTTCTCATCCGGTAATTCAATGAAAGCAGTTTTCATATTGTTATGATTTTCCTTTAAATGTTAGTGTCAAAATATTTCTTTACCTATTATTCTTCTTTATGAAGAACTCCTAACAGTTTCATAAATATTTTTGGCTTGATATTACAGACTGGATATCTTGATATATGGGAACCAGCCACGTTAGCCATTAAGAGGGAAGGTTACAGTATCAAATGCAGTGGACCAAATGGAGTCGTAATCACAGAAAAATTTTCACCGTCCACCCAAGTATGATGGTTTATTCCTTGATATTCTGTATGACTATTTGGCAAATTTATTATTTAGCAAATGAAGTAAAATTCCTTGCTAATTCCTTTTTTTTTTTTTTTTTTTTTTCTAAATACAATCTATTATCTCCTCTCATGTGAAAACTCCTTATATTGGAAGAACCCAAGTCTCACATAGGGTACAAATACGGTTTGAAAAGATAAGTGGAGGACAACCCGCACCTCTCAAGATGATTTTGTTGGATTAAGTTAAACCTACAATTCAAAAACTTATATATAGGCTAAATTCGGCCAAACTTGCTGTAAATGTCCGAATGTTTGAAAATAAAAATTATGATGTTATGAAAACAAGACATTGTGTCATGGCAAATTAGATTTATCTGACGATGTATTAGCTATCTAGAATAATATTGTCAGATTGTCATTACAGATTGCCAGTGAAATTGTAAGAAGCATTATATTGCAGAATATTTGTCTTTTCAAGTTTTTGGTTGTGTTGGATGAACTGAGTTATTTCATCAGATAGATCGTTCATGTGCCCCTGCTTATTTATCAATGATAGAACTTCTGTTAAATATTCAATTTAAGTTCTAAGAAGTATGATATTGCGGAATTTGTGATTGTCTGCTGGACTTTCTAACCTTTGGTTGAAGTTATCTCACCAGATAGACATCAGGCAAGCCAAAGAGTTTGTGAAGTTGAGAATATATAAGTTTTGGACCTTATTTATTTGTTGATGTCAAAATTTGTTATTTATTAAGAAAGTATAAAACTGTTGAGATTTATTATATTTAATGATCTTATGTGGTTAGCTAATTTTTATATATCCACTCTGCATTGTTCTCTGTAGGTTGCGATTCCATATGGACATGCTTCAGAATTCATTATTATTAGTTCCACTGGTGCTGAACACCTTTTAAAAGCAGAAAACAACTCCACAGATGTCAGTTGGTATGTATTCTCACATGTCTTGTTATAATAGTAGTTAAATTGCACCTGTGAAATGTTTCATCTGCAAATATTTCTTCATTGACTGGAATAGAGATCATATTATCTGCAATTGTTTTATTGTCTGCTTCCTGTGTTTTATTTTCTGCTTGATGAAAAGGGATCATAACACCTTTTTTTAATGTTCTATTAGGTATGAATGTATGTTTATGGAACAATTTTTTTGATGACTTGACTTGGCATGAGAGAGTTGCAGGTTGTTTCATGTGCAAATGATTCAGCATTGACTGAAACATTATCCCCCCAGGAGATTTCACTGTCTAGCTTGCTTTGTTTAAACTTAAGCTGACCTAAAACTTCAAATTTTTGAACCCTTTTGAAGACACTAAAAGTCCAATCTCCGTTCTCTCTCTGAACAGTCTGTTGGATAGAAGGGCAGCCATTTGCCTTTAGTGTCTTTGATAAATGAGACTTCAGTCATATTCAGTAGCCAAAAATGATTTCTGTGTTTTCTTGTTTGTGGTTACATCTGCATTATTCTTTAAATGTAATAGTAGAATATTAAAATTTTTCTTTAGGAATAGTATACTCGTATAATTTTGTAATCTTCATCACATAAAGTTCGTTGCAAGTAATAATTCTAGCTCTTGCTTCTGTCCGTTTTAAATAACTGACATATACCTTTTTTGCTGAGGATGTCGTAATTAATTTTTTTGCAACAAACAAATGGTGAAGATATCATTTATAATATATTTGAAAAAATCTGTTTCATTTTAAAATTCTTCTTAGATCCCTACTCCCCGTTGTCAACTTTGTGGAACCTCGAGTGTTAAAAATTATTATGGAGAAAGGGAACGAGACAAGTGAAGAAACTTGTAATATGTTAATGCCAATGTGCTTAAAATAAATTGGAAATTGGAATAATATTTTGTTTAATCTCTAAGCAATGAAGAGAATTACCTTTTTAATTAGAGTGCCCTACGTCAAGTTTTCAAATTATTGCAAAAAGCAATTTGTAATATCGTGTGACTTGTCCATTTCAGAAGTTTTCTGCTTTATATTCTGCTTTTACTAGTATTTATGTTTATTCTTTTGCAGTGCCAGAGACACAATTGTGCTCACTTTGAGATTATTTATTCTGAGGAAGGTATATAAAATTTTTCTCCCGAATTTGTTTACTGATTAATAAAAGTGGTAGTTTGTATACTAAAAATTTTCCATTTGGCCTTCAGTTTGTTTGGCATGGCATTTTATGAAACACTTGCAATGTTGTTTATCTTGCTCGACTTGGCATGTTCCCTTGCACCCTTACTACGCTTGGTAAACCAAAGTAGTAATAATAATAATAATAATAATTAGAGAAGGTGGAGCATCAGTTTTCCAACATAATAAATTTTGCTTAATTTAGTCAGTCATTATTCTTAACGGTGAACTGTTCTATTACATGTAGAAACTATTAATAACTAGCATTGATTATGTATGTTCCCTGCTTGGGCAGTATAAGATTGTTTAAATAGATTCCTTTAGTTCCCTTGATTTGAAGTCAACTGAGCTTAAAGTTATGATTCTGACCTGTCCTTAGTGTTGTATAGGAAAGCCAGAAAGAATGTTACTTCAGTCCAGTTGTTGTTCATAGATTTTGTTTATTTCTGTGTTTCTGATTCATCATTTTGTTTTTAGAGTAAATATTTTGAGCCAGCATTGAAGATTATGTATTGAAGGTTTCTTCTGATTTTTCTCTTGTGCAGCCTGGGGAGAAAAGGAGAGTAAAGAAGAAGGGGATATTCTTCTAACAGGTCATCAGGCGCTCGGCAGTAAAACTCTGCGGTGCGTGGAATATGCGGACAGAGATGGAGATCGGGAGTTGTGGTTTGTGTGCTACCTAAATTTTTGCTCCTTTTCATATTCTATAATAGGGCAGAATTAGCTTGAGCTGTAATTGTGAATTTATGCAAGCATTTTTTTTTATTATTATTTTTTTCAATATTTAGCTATTCTTTTTAGCTCTGCTCCTTGCCATGTAAGTCCATTGTTGTACTGCATGCCTCTCTTACCATTTTGTACATCTCTTTTCGTGGGGCCGTGTGCAGTGTGCTTGCATTCACATGCCATGTTACCCCACTTCCATTAACTAAATGGTTCAGAGAAAAATGATATAGTTTCCATTTGAATTTAATGAAGCATGTCTCCTATGTCAAGGGTCACGTGTTTTTTAAAATAAAACAATTAATCCTTTTGCATTCTTTGATGTTTCAAGTTTGTCCGAAGAGTTTGAGAACTGTTTGATTTGAGGATAGCCTTTTGAAGGTGAGTTAGGGAAAAGTAATATTAACTTCAATGTCCTTGTTGCATGATCATGGAACACCAGCCGTTGACTTTCGATGACTGTAATGTCCACAACGCGAAGAAGTTTATGTGATAATGGATAGAGATATAGTGTGTGCAGTGGACCTAAATAAGATACGAGTTTGTGGTTATGACTTATGGATAGGCTGATTGATGTCGAATGTTAAACGTTTCAAGGATTTTCTCAGTAAGAATAAATATATCTTGGCAATCTCTTTTCTGGATAAAAAGATTTTTCTCAGTAAGCTTTGGGTTACTCTTGTTTCACATGATTCAACTTGTCTCCGATTTAATACAATCCAGACAATACAAGTTCGTGGAACTTGTCGTATGTGGTCATCTTCAGGGCTTACCTATTCTACTTTTACAGATACAATCTTGTCAGTCCATTGCATGATAACAACCTATTTTAGGGTGATAAGAAATAGAGGATGAAGGTTGTTTAATTGTGAAGAAATGATGATAAGTGGGGAGAATTTTAATTATAATATTATTTATTTAATTTTTGCACATTATTATTTTACTTTTTTCTTTAAATATTATTAAAAAAAAATAAGATTTGGAAAAAAATAATTCTGCCACCACCTATAATCTATTATGGTTCCCCAATTATTAATTGTGATTTCCCCATAATTGATTATGTGTGGTTTTTAGAACTAAATATTACCAAATTTTATCACAACTGATACAACTTGTTATGTTCAAAATAATTTATTAGGTTGGGTTTTAACACACTTTCTCCAACTTTGCATTCTCTCACATGTAGAAAGTAACTCACTCTCACTTTGTCATGTCTTTTCTTTTTTTTCTTGCCAATCATCCATTTTTTCCTCCTTTCTTTTTCTTTCTTTCCATGTACCCCTGCTATAATGGTAAAATACGAGTAAAAGGTTCACTATAAATGATCAAGAATCCAAATTTGGTTCTCATTAAAAATTTGGATTAGCTTCTCATCATGTATGACTTATTTTGATATTGGCCATATAACATGTCAATTATATTTTGTTAAGAAGAAGAGACCAGTAAAACTCTAGGTAATTGCACTTTTAGGATTTTCTTAGTGGTAAAGTGACTGTACTTTTAAAAATTGCTATGTAAAATGGGTCAATTTTGTTCTACTTGATCGGCCTGGTTGTCTTACTAAGCTAGGCCCAAAAACAATGATTTGTTATTTTAATTTTTGTATTTCTTCCAAAAATTTTAAATACTAAATTTACTTAATATTATTTTTTGATTAAATTAAAATTACATTCCTTACAACTTTCTCAAATTATATCTACATATCTGATTTTTCACAATTACAATAACCTTATCAGGTGACATGGTGTGAGGGTAATGTAAACAAAACGATAATGTAACATTTAAAAAAGTAAGCGAGATTTGTGTAGAATAAAAAAAAAAAAGTACTTTTAATGTAAATTGGGAAATGTTAAGAATGCAAATAAAAATAATAAGATTTGACAAAAGAAAGAAATATATAAATGATGCTTTTGATAAAAACTGAAAAAAAAAATGATATTGAGCACTAATTCATAATGTCTTATCCCCACAAAAAGAACACGTAGGTAAGAGAAAAAAAAAAGTATGTTAAAGATGACAAGGTGTATGTTATATGAAAGAGTTATCAAAGAGTCCTGGGTAAAGATGGTAAGAATGACTATATTTTTTATATAATAGGTTTTTGAGCAAAGTTCTAAAAAATAATCTATTTCATCCAAATTTACAAAATCTAAAAATATACGATTGTGGTTGCTTCTCTTATAGTTCACAGGTTAAAAAGGACAACACGAATCATATTTCATTGATGATAATATAAATGAGATAGGTACAACATCCTTAGTTGAAATTCATGAAAGAGACAATAATGTTGTATTAGAACTTATAAATTCAAATAAGTTGTGAAGGATGACAAAAGAATTAAAACTATCGAGGAAGAATTAAGAATGATAGAAAAAATAGCATTGAGTGTTGATGGAGAATCCACACCACAAGCAAATAATTTATAGGAGTAAAAAAAAATTCTAGAAACTCAAGTGTTTGGAGTCAATTTTTCATAAATATTTGCTCAAGTTGCGAGCCTTGATTTAGTTAGGATTTACACAAATTCTAAAGATATGCACAAAGAGAAGAAGTGAAGGTCGTTTATTGCAAAGATGTTTTAATAAAAACTCTTCCAAAATCTAAATTTGAAGTTCTAAGAATCAAAATATGAATCTACCCATGTTGCAAGTGTACCTTCCCAGTAACAACTACAACATTCCTTTCCTAGTTTTTAGGACTTTGTTTTGATTCTGTTTTACGTTTCAAATCTTAGGATTAGGAGTTACAGATTTTATGTTTTAGATTTATTATGTGTAAAATCAAGATATATAACTGATGTGCTTTATACAGAACTCTTTCAATAAAATTATAATATGTTTTTGTTACAGTGGAAAGATGTCTAAAAATAAGTATTTAGAAAGTAAGAAGACAAAAAATTAAATATAATTGTATTTAACATAAAAATTAAATTATATAATTGTACTATTATAATATAGAGACACGGTATTTGTAATTGAAGATTATTAAGTTAATTATTATCTCTAATACAATCCTTAATTTAATGATTGATTTAATATTCTTTTTTTTTTTTTAATTCTTTGAACCCTCCAGTAATTACAAAGTTGTGTGACATAAACTTCCTCCTTCAATTCCTCATTCAAAAATTCAGATGTTATGACTGGTTGATGTATCTATCTCCCTTTATATAGCTTTCTGGGATTGGTTTTCAAATAAAGGTTTAGAATTGCCTTTTTGGGCACAAGTTTTTGGTCATATGGTGGGAACAATTCAATGAAAGAAAGCTAAGATATCACCTTCTCTTCTTTAATTATGAACAACAGATCATTCCTCCTCAACTCCAAGTGGACAACGCCCCAACCTTTTCTCTGTCACAAAAGCATCCCAAACAACCTTTTTTTGTGTGTGTTAATGGAACAAATAGTTTATCTTTATCAACTTTAGCCTCTTTTGCATCTTTCAACCCTGCCCAATGTTCATTTACAGTATTATCTCCTTTATATATTGTTTTTCAAGAACAGATACAATACCCCAAAGCTTGTGGAAATTTTGACAATGAACTATTGGGTTTGAGAGATGAACTTTTACTTACAAAAAAAGCTAATCATATTTATCAATGCTTCTTCGTAACCAAGTTTCACATAGAGGAGAATGTCATCGTCAAGATGGGGTGAGTGACAAAGGAGATATAAGTGCCTTCTTTCTATAGCCATTGTAAGGTCCATTTAGAGGTGAAAATAATGGAAAAAGTGTATTTATGGTGGAAGACTTAATTGATAAAAGTACGAGTTAGTGGAATAGATAGTTGATATTCTCTATCTTTTTTCTTTCTAATTTAGTGAGAATATTTGTAGATTCTCTAATGAAAAGGTTACCATAAGGATGCATTAATTTGTCATCATATCTCATTTGGTTTCTATACAATGAAGTAAGATATTATGTTATTATTATCGATCCCAAATTTCCTTTTGCTCTTGATTACTTAATTTATCCAATCATGTTAGCTTATTCTTCATACTCTCTTAGTTTAGTCAAATATGGTTTGCATCCCCATTAGAGTTTTACATAAATAATTGAACCATATGATGATATATGGACATGATTTCACAATCAAACTACATTGAATTTATACCTTAGCTTTTTGAGTGTTAAAATATAAATTGAACTATTATAAGATACAAAATTATATAAATATAAATAATTAATTAATCAGATTACTAGAAAAGTATAATATTTTATAATTATAATAATTCTAACTAAATATTATATAATGTGTAAAAAATTTTACAAAGAAAATGAAAAAAATAAAATTTCAACACTCTTCGTCAAGTTTGTGTATATAAATTCCATATTTTCAACTTGACAAGATATTTTGAAAGAATTTTACTTTAGACGACTTTTATTAGAATATTAGTTAATTGATCTTCAGAATATTATTGTGAGAAGAAAAGTTTTACATCAAGAAAATCTTAGTTTGACACTTTCTTTTCTTATTATAAAAGGAGCACAGTATTTACCTTGTAAGATACACTAAAATCACTTCCTTTTCTTTCTCTTGCTACTTTAGTACTTGAGAGATAAATTAAGAGAGAGAAATAGTTTCTCCTTTTAGGTTCTCTTAGAGTTATTTTTCCTTTATTTTCAGGAGAGGGTGTTATTGTTTCCTCCTTGGAGGTAGAGAGAGAACGGTTGTAATTTCTTTCATTAGTAGAATTACTCTTTTGCCTGTTGTCGGTGTTTTTTTCATCTTTTTATTTTAGTCGTGTGTGCTTATGCTTTTATCTGATACCTAATAGTGGTATCAGAGTCGATGGTTCATCCAGTGACCAGCTCAGTTGAGTATAGTATGTGAAAGTTCCTGGTGTCGAAAGTCTTCCTAACAAGGGTT